AAGTATCCCATTTGGTGAACTATGTTCTTGTAGTATGAACTATATGTTCTAAAAATAACCATTTCATAACCGCTACTGACAAGAATTTCTGACAGCGGTTACCTGAAAAATATCTTATTGTTCGTTACTTTTGAAACAGGACGGTTGTTGCCATCTGTCATTGATAAGTCAATTGCTAAATTATTTCAAATGTGTAAACTGAAAACCTTACACTGTGATCACACTTTTTTCAATTGATTGATCTTATAATATAGGTACAAACTGAAAATTGTAGTATTTTTGAGGACCCGAGCAGTACAAGAAAATTCTTAGGGTGCCCTAAGAGCCGTGCCTGTGCGAAAGTAGCAATTTACATTGGATTTGAATCGCTGGAGATTAAATCCATTTGGAAAAACATTTTCAGGAATTGTATTCAGATTAACGCAGTTCTCCAAATGAAAGAGTTCTTGAACAGTGAAATTCGAGGTGTACTGAGTTGAACCTCAAAACGATGAACAGCCACTTCTCTTGGTCGAATCAAATGTGTCCTTTCCGTCTTAAGAATCAATTTTGAGTTCTGAAAAATCTTCGGAGGCAGATGAAAAAGGAATGATAACCTGAGTCGTTTTTTGAGATGAGTCGAGTACAGTTTGGCATATTTGGATGTAAAAAGGGTTCCTTATCTGTATCTGTAGAGTAGGGAGGGTGAGTGTAAGCACACAGCACTTAGGCCACATGTGAGCCATTGTACATCCTCTCGAGGAGTTATCCTCCTAGGTCATCGTCCATCCTGTCCTTTCCAGAAAGGTGGACAGGTCACTGGGAGGTGTAGGCCAAGACTCGCCGAACATACAATCTCTTATTGACGATAACTCCGGGAACTCGCACAGGACATGCCTGAGAGTCTCATCTTCCTGTTCACAGATCCTGCATAGAGGTATGTCCACTAGCCCCAGATTATGGAGGTGTTTCCTTAGTTGACAGTGGCCAGTTAAATCCTACTATTAAGCGTAGATTTTCCTGGTCATCGCCAGATATTTCTTCGGCGCCAGCTTCCCAGTGTCGCCCAAGGCGATCCTGGTAAGATTACATCCTCTGATTCCATCCCATCTCTTTAAGGATTGAGCATGGGTGTAACATTTGACTAGTTCTGCAATTGTCGAAGTCCTAAAATTCTTAGTCCAGCCACTTCCTTGGCTAAAGAGTCGGCAATGCGATTACCTTTACTCCTGTCGTGCTCTTTAACCCACCTCAGGATAATGTTATTTATTATCTGCCGAGGCTTTGGCTAAATATTGGTGACACTATAGTACTAGCCCTGAGGTTATACGTTGTCTGTTCATGGCTAATAAAAGGGTTCCTTATTAAAAGTGTATATTTTTTTTCTGTTTCACAAGAAATGGAACTGCACCTGAAGAGGAAGAATGAATTGAATACAGTGAACAGAAATAAGTCGTCTTTCAATATTGTTAGTTCGTAGTTTACTGAGTTTATACTTGGTTTACACAAGCTTTAATAGTTTTTTGATACCCAGGTAGATTGTTTTCATTATCCAAATAAGACACTGATTGATAACCCATCTAGTAACATAATTTTTTGCTCTCCTTGGAATCCAATTACAAAAACTATTTGGAACAGAACTTTCTCAAAACAACATAAAGGTGAACGAGGTAGCTTTTAACGATCACTTGTTCTATCCATCTGCCAAATGTCACTCTCACCACAACAAAATCATCGGTTAGTTTTAGAGGGTTTGGTTCACTAGTGTTTCATATAATAATACTACGAATTCAAATTGAAACAAAGCGTTGCTGAAACAGTCCGAAAGGTTAATCAGGCGAATGGCAATGATAACGTTAAGTTACTTCGAGTTACGAGATTTCGTTCTGGATATTTCAACCTTGGAGATGAGCCCCGAAGTGATAGACCCACAGTAATCCAGGACGAGAATTTGAGGATCCTGGTGGAGACTGACCCATCACAAACGGGGCGTGGGATGGTGAAAAACCGGGCGTCAACTCTCATGCGGTTTTTTGTGGTTTAAAACGTATTAGAAAGGTATTAAACCACGAAAAGTGAATGCTCCAAGATTTGAACGATCGACAGAAATTGCCACGTCACGAGGTCTATTCTTCTTTGCTTTTGCGCAACCAAAACAATCCTTTTTTGAATCGGATCGTCACGTGTGATGAAAAGTGGATCATCTACGACAACAGGAGTCGTTCAGGACAGTGGTTGGACACTGTTCCAACAAAAAAAAAAACATGTACTGTATGGTGGTCAGCATCTGCTGTGATAAACTATAACTTTCTGCATCCGGGCCATACCATCACAGCAGAGTGCCATTGTGAGGAAATTGACAAAATGTTTCGAAACTTGCGTCAGCAGCAGCAGCCAGTACTGGTCCACAGAAGAGCTCCACTACAACGCCCATCCGCACGTTTCACAAATCACCGTCTGAAAATTCAACGAATTTAGCATCGAAGTTCTGCCTTACCCACCATACTGCACAAACCTATCGCCAACTGACTTCCATTTCTTCAAGCACCTTCGCCAATCACCGATTCAAATGGCGCTTATTTCGATTGAATTCAATGAGTATTCTCTGAGATTTCGCAGTTTGAAAACGGACAAAACTCTTGAAACAACGCAACAGAAAGCCTTAAACATTCTATATACTCTATACTATATACATTCAATATACTCTTTTCAAAATATATTATTAATATTGTCAAAACACAAAAAATATTTTGGTAATCTGGAAAACTTAGTATATCTGCAGATAATACTTGAAAAAAATAACACTTTGAATTTCTTATGCATTCCATTGTGGAATTTGTGTATGTATGAATGTGAGTTCAATCACATGACCTACTGACGCATGTTTATATACTTGTATATCTCACTTTTAAAATATAAGTTTTTTTAAAATTATTCATTTTGAAAAAGGAAAACCGTACTGTGTTTCCTTAAGTTACAAACAAACTTATAACTTGAATGCAATTCTAGTATAACTAACTTAATTCGCCATCCAGGACGGAATTTATAGTAAAATAGGTGATGACATAGTTTGAAAATAAACAAAGAAAATCGAGTCTTTTTGTCGTTTTGAAAACTGTGTATCTCCGGATGTCGATTCAGCAAGTCAGCATAAATAGTCTTTGTGTCGTCGTTTTGAAAACTGTGTATCGCCGGATGTCGATTCAGCAAGTCAGCATAAAGAGTCTTTGTTTCGTCGTTTTGAAAACTGTGTACTGATGTCGATTCAGCAAGTCAGCATTGACATTGATCCATGTCACGTTTCAAGGTCTGTTCCTCTTTGCTTTTGCGCAGCCAAAACGATCCTTTTTTTGGAGCGGATCGTCACGTGTCATGAAAAGTGGAACATGTTTTTAGCGCGCATATTTGATCCATCATCACAGCCCTGTCCCCATGAGTTGCTTATGTCCAAATTAATTTTGGCTACATTTTCCACTATAAATGACTGCGCGGTACGCCGTTTTACTTTCTATTGGTATTTTGTAAAAATGAATTGTTTTGATTGTTGCTTTTAGGTGATACATGAATTAAATTGATTGTTGATAATTTTTATTCGGCGCTGCGGTCGGACGGAATATTGTGTAACTATCACTAGACTAGCTTGTTGCCAGATTTAAAAATTCAGCTTCTGCAAGAATCCGCTCGACATTAGCGCCGAATTAAAATTATCAACAATCGTTTTAATTCATGTAACTATAATTATCATCGAACAAGTTTATTGATGTTTCACAGAAATTGTAGTAAATTATTCGATAGTTACAAAAAAAGTATATGTGACAAACATTTACTTTCAAAAATTTCAAACAATGAATCTATATTATAGCTGTTCGCAACTTTTCATCAAACAAATTAATTCATGTAACATTTTAAATCAAGTGTTTTTAATGTATCGAACAAATGCATGAATCAATTAAATTCAAACAAATGAATTGTTAGTTGAATAAATTGAGAAATGAATATTTGTGACAATAAAAAGTTATATAAGTTTTAGGTTACGATTGTCTAAAATGTACCTAAGGATGTAAAATTTTCGAATTATTTGCCTAGCTTTATTGTTTACATATTTGGTATGCGCGTTCCATTTAAGGTGTTGATCGACAATTACGCCAAGATATTTTATTTCTTTGGTTTTTTGGATAGATGGACAGTTGCAATTTGGTTGAGTGCATATTTTCTCATGAAGCATAATATAATTTCTGTTTGGTTGAGTGTCGACATTTGTAGAAAATGTTATAAATTTACTTTTAGACGTATTCAGAGACAACTTGCTATAATTTAGTTTGGAAATCCGAATCATTCGTTACGCGTCGTATACTTATGTTAAGTCTTCCTAACAGTTCAATACATATTCAATCACCATTGTTACGGTCGTATAATTTTTGGCTTTGGCCACGAAAAGCCATATTTTGTGTAGGTACTTAAAAATTGTACCACATATATTATTCTTTTGATTACATCGTACCAGCGCTGCTTTTCAACCTCTGAAAGTTTTTGTTGAATACTTCCAAAAGTGTTTTTATTTTCAAGAGCGAGACATGAATCTGTCCATTTTTTATAGCTATTAAAATGAGAAGAATTCTTTGCATGTCTGCTGCAATCCAAAGCTAGATGTTGCCAATCACTAATTCTCTCGCAGATTTTTATGTTTTGATTCAAATAGCCTGCAACAGAAGCAATAAACGGAATTTTTAACACTTAACACAGCAACCACTCTGTGTGATAATTTTCACCGTTTCCTAAATACCCTTCATAATAATATTGGGAAAATGTTCGCCTCGAAGAGTCACGCGGAAAATTGTAGTGTTTAATTTGTTTAATCGGGTTTTCTATTAAATACTGGCTCAAAATAGCATTGAAAACTTCTGGACAGAGTCCAGGGTCATCTTTGGAAAAAGTTGGTATTGGTGACGATAATTGTCTTGGCGGTGTCAATGGTGTATCAGGCAGAGGTACGGACGTAACTTCGTGTTAGTTCAAGAATTTAGTGAAACCCCAAAAACCGATGAAACAACATTTTGCGAGGAGGTGAATGTCCCCTCCAGGAACTTCTACGTTGAAGTTTGAATGCCTATTATTCCAATACATTCCGCATTGGTACCTCTACGCTGGTACGTACAATGTTGACGAACTCTGGCGACCTTGGTACCGCATTAGTATAAAGACATCCGACAAAGGCGAAAGTTTCATCCGACCCACCATCTTCCGAAGACGTCGCATTCCGTTTTCTCGCACGCAACTGTCAGGCGAGCCCAATGGAAAAAATCATCGAATAAATGTGCTCGGCACGGCACGATCCAAAACAACGTTTTGAAGATGTCCGATGAATCTCGCGCGATCCTCATTCGAAGCATGGCCTAGATTCCATCAGGAGGATTTTTTTGGCGCGACATGATTTTTGGAATACGGTTCTTCGAGTGGTTCTTTTGCTTTGGTTATGTGTGGGTGACAGTTTCCGGGTGGCATATTCTCGAGTTCATTGTGGGGCCGAAACTTGACGGAAAGTTGGCTAGTTCGAGGGAAATTGAAAATGATCCTGCGGTGAGTTGATTCGGAGGTTTCGATTGAAATTTGATTATTTTGTGTTTGCAAACAAAACGTGGATTGGTGTAACTACAATTTTATCTATTTTGATTTTTTGTGTGCAAAACAGCATCATCATAGCAGATGTGCCTTAAAATGCGCCCTCTAAATAAATCAATACTCATCCTACAACATTTTTGTTACTTCCTGAAGTTTCAGAAAATATTTAAATGCGTTCGTAGTTGTTGTTACTTTTCATTTCTTCTGAAAATTCTTTTATATGTTTCGACATAATTTCTTTTCTTATTCATTAAAACAAACTGTTTTCCGAGCTATTTTCAGTTGAATATCTTTGAGAATATTTGATACGATTTTATATCACCAATTTCTTTGAAATTGAAATATTACATTTCAATTAATTCATATATAAATTTTTTACAGCGCTCATTCCAGCGTTTTTGAAATATTCATTGCAAGATTTATAATTTAGTTGTATTTCATTCATGTATTATATTTCTGGGATAGAACTGACCACTATAGAAAATTTTCAAAGTCATGACACTAAAAAAGAAATAACGAAGATACTGTGTATCGAGACATCTTTCGTGCTTTTGAAAACATTTTACAGTGAAAATTTCACGGTAAACTGGACATATCAGTGAGATTTCAGTTCCTTTCCGAAATATAAAATATTCAACTTCGATTTTCGGGCATAATTTCACTGATAATATCTACCAAAGTTATAGACGAAACGCCAGGCATAAAACCTACAGCTCACATCCAAAAACCCGGAAAATAGCTATCATACAATTATTATATCCTATATTATCAAATTATGTATGTTTTTTACCACTTTTATTTGTAATTAATGTTACTGCAGTTTCGTCGTATAACGAAATTTTCAAACTAATACAATAAACTCATTGTATTAGTTTGAAAATGCAGTAGTACTAGTTACAAATGAAAGTTATAAAAATATAGAAAGTTTCATTTCTCATTTTTTCTATATTATTGTTTGGAATGTCAATTTTTGTTAATAAGAAGAAATAATAAAATCAATCAGTTTGGTTATTCTAATGGTTTCGAACATCAAAAAATAACCTAGAGCACTATTTACTTTCTTACTCAATCTATTATATTTGCTTTCAAAAATAATTAAGATGTCTCATTTCTATTAAGGACCAATGTTATTATTTTGGAATTTACAAACTTCACAGAGCTTCCAGCAATCTCGAAGGTATTTTTTAACTGATTGGCTTTGAAAGATTTTTGTTTCGGAAAAGTGGAAAAGGAAATAGTTGTGAATAATACGTGTATCAAATTCTTCTGAAATACAATTGTCAGATTCAAAGTTATCTGTAACTTTGGTCAGTAGTCAGGTAATTTATGGCATCTTTTTAGGTTTCCAAGAATAATTTCTTTAAAAAGGAATCGATCAATATGCGTACCACTTATTTTTGAATTCATAAACATTCCACTTTCACTTACACAAATCGCATGAATCATACACTTTCTTTTAAAAATATTAAACAGTATACTTCTTTCAAATAACAGAGATAAAATTCAGTATCACTATTTTTCGGGTTTGAAGGCCGCCAATTTCTGGAATTTTTTACTGACGTTTCGCTGACGTGAGTGACTAGTTTCTTCAGAGGTCAATACATCCTGAGTAATCTCTAAGGCGTATTTATGTTGAGTCAGGTAGTTTGGTGTGCTAATAACTGTAACTGGATAAGGTAAATTTTTCCGCCACAGCCAACTTGTCGGGTTGGCCTAGTCTACAGTTTCCTCCATGCTCTTTCAGCCTTGTTCCCATGTATGTTTTAGTTGTTCCCATGTAAACCTTCCACCACCAACCTCAACCGAATATGAAATCCTTTTTTAACAATTTCAAGAATAGCAAACAGCATGACGGCAGGCAGAAAAGGGTCGACGAATGTTATTGACAATTTACTCAATCATGGTACAGGTATTAGCACACCAAACTACCTGAGTCACAATAAACATACTTCAAACAGTTTACCCAATCCAAGTATAAGCACACCAAACTACGTGAGTCAACATGAATACGCTTCACACATTTTACCCAAACTATGCACAGGTATAAGCACACTAAATTACGTGAGTCAACATGAACACGCTTCACACAGTTTACCCAAACCAGGTACAGGTATAAGCACACCAAACTACCTGAGTCAACATGAACACGCTTCACACAGTTTACCCAAACCAGGTACAGGTATGAGCACACCAAACTATCTGAGTCAACATGAACACGCTTCGCACAGTTTACCTAATCCAAGTATAAGAACACCAAACTACCTGAATCAACATGAACACGGTCTACACAGTTTATTCAAACCAGGTACAGGTATAAGGACACCAAACTACGATATGCATAAAACAGGGGGCGATCCTTTGCTGCTGCAAAGCCAATAACACCGTCTCCGAGGAAGAACTGCATGTCTTTTTCATCTTCCATTCCATGAATCTTGAATACGCGGTTTCATAAATTTTCCGCGATTTAGCTGGCAATAATTTTTGTGACGCTACTTTCGCTGCTTCTACTAACTCCGGTGAAGTCAGAGAAAACTCTGAACTAGACATTTTTCAAAATAACTACTGACCACTAACTTCACAATTTTAAAATCAAATCACAGAATTGAATTGACAGATATTTGATTTTCTATTGATTGGTTTTCTAGCAACGCTTCGCGTCGGGAGACAACACAAACTCGAGCTAAAATCTAATACTTTTTCCCTTGTATAATAAATAACTATTTCATCACTGTTTCTCTGTACCGCAATATTTTTGGAGCCTGACATTTTGTATGTATGTTCGTTTTATGTTGGAGATGTACAATAAGAAAGGATTTTCAAATATTAGCCATGTGTGATCTCTCGACTGCATTCGACTGCGTTTCGCACGTTAGAGTTAGAGTTTTATGGAGTGAGGGGGCTACCACTCAGTTTATTTCAGTCGTACTTATGTAACAGAACCCAATCTGTGTGTGTGAATGGAAACATGTTTGACATTATTTAAACTATCAAGAATGGTATGCCGCAGGGATCCGTTCTGGGACCATTGCTATTCTTGATATATTTCAATGACTTCAGTCATTTTATGTCACCAGGTAAATGTGTTCTTTTCGTAGATGACACACCTCTAATAACGTCTCAGAAAAACATAATCGAATTACCATCAATTACTGATGGTAATTGACGCCTGAGACAGGCGTCTCTGTGGTTCACAACAAATAAGTTGAAATTAAATGAAAGCAAGACCCAGAAGGTCTTGTTTACGACCTCAAATACTGAAACCACTGAAAATGGCAATGATACTGCCAAATTACTACGACTCACTCTTGACCGGAATTTATCATGGTATGCACACATTGATGAACTGAGTAAGAAGCTGTAAGAGTATATTTGCTTTTCGACAGCTAAATGGAGTATTGTCTCTTGACGCCCTGAGGAGTTCATATTTTGCTTTGTTCCACTCACATGTGAATTATCGCATAGTTTTGTGGGGTAATTCCTTCACTCCATTAAAATCTTCAGACTTCAGAAAAAAGCAGTCAGAATATTGATGAATGCCAATTATAGAGATCACTGTAAGCCGCTTTTCAAAAAATGGGTATATACCACTACCATCGGAATTCATATATGATCAGTTACTTAAAATCCATAAAAATAAATCAATCTATTCGCAGCATCAGGATATTCATCATCATGCTATAAGAAATGCAGATCTATTCATACAGCCTCGATACAAACTCACATGGTCTATTGAAAATTCATTGAATATCAATATCTACAATCATCTTCCTAATTCGTTCAAAGTGCTCAAACAAAGCTCCTTCAAAAACAGAGTCAGAACTATTCTCCTGGAAAATTGTTTTTTAGTACTCAGGATTATTTAAGTACTTCAATTATGCCGATTTTATTTCATCTGATATGTGAAGCTCATGTTTATACATAATATTTGTTTTTTGACACTTTCAAAAATTTTAGACTGATTATTGTAATGTTTAAAATTATCTTTCATTTTATTCACATATATAAAGAAACAGTTAGACAATGACTTTTTGAAATTATTGAGTCAGCTACGATGTAAAAAAAAATGATATTTAATAACAGTAATAAGGAAAATAGTTTTCCTTTGCATGTAAATGAATTATTCTATAACAGAAACTATCTCGGATATTACTTTAACAAAAAAACTGAAATAGTGTTTCTTGAGATTTAGGTACTAATTTACAAATGTTGGTAATTTCATTTTATGAACATTGATTCGCAGAGTTTTTGTATCTCTATCAGGTTGGTCATTTAGTAGCAAATTTCACCAATAATTACTAATTAGACAAATGAACAGAAACATAAAAAATAACTTTCTCGTCGATGCAATCAGTAGTAATGATGGTAAGAATTATTTTCACACATTCTGCTTTTCCCCTCCGAATCGAGAAATTCATTTGGAAACCCAATTCGGTTAGTAGGTGTAAATAACAATGAATCAGCGTTTCCACTGAGTAAATTTTTTGATAGCGCTTCAAGGAATTCACACTGTCCTCCTTCTTTCACGCATCACCTGAGGAATCAGCGTAAAGAATTTGAAAACGGTAATGTTTTGAATTTCTAAAATTTCAATTCCTTGCATCGTTACGAAAACGGATTAACATCTCATTCTCAAGATAATATAATTTGTTTTGAATGAAAGTCTACTAAGTTTTACCTCGATTAATCTTACGAGGGATGTTAGATAAGTTGACTGAAATTCTATTTGTTGAATGGAAAATATATCCATATGAAACAACGGATGCAGTGAATAATAAACTAGATGAGTACGGAAAGGTATAATAAAATATAGAATCTGTAAATCTGAAATCGAAATAAAAAATATACTATTTCGTTATTTGAATACGCCACTATAAAATCGTGCCAGTTCAAAGATATAGCAGAAGAGATGAGTATCTATTCGATATTTTAACTATTTTAATGTGTGATTTTAGTTGTTATCGACTTCAATGTTTTTATTTGTGCATGAGCCTCATATTCATTCCATTTTCACATTTTTTCAAAAATTATTGACAAAAAATCTCTCAATTTACTTGAAAAACATACTCAGAGTACAAAGGGAGAACGACATTGTCAATAGTATTTTCCGGAATTATACAACATATTATAATTTAATTGTAGCCCTAAATATGGCGACAAATGTTCACATGAAAAAACTGAATCGTACATAAATGAAAAATATACTTGTATGATGAATTAGTCCTAATTTTCAGTCTACACGATTCAAAAATCAATCGAATTTTATTTCGAAATACTTTTTCAAACATTTGAAATCTCTCAGTCGAGTCCCAGACACATTGCTGTTTAGATCAGATCTTACTTGCACTGATGAGGAGCAATGCCTCGAAACCCGGCTGTAAGTGATCTACTTGATCGACTCCAATTTGGTCCTGCTGCTGGACGAACGAGAAACATATGCAAAACTAACCTTTGTGAGGTAGCGCCATTTGAATAATCATCGGGATTCAATGGAGTCGACGAAAGCCGTTTTTGCCTGGTCCTCAATTTGTTCAATTTCCTAACGATGATTTGTGAAACATAAAAAAATATATTGCTTTCCGTTGGAGTTATAGTATTTCATTCTTATCGATATTCATTATTAATTTGTTGCATGGAAAGATCAATATTTCGTAAACTAGTACAGCTATGTGAAAATGAGGTTAGATGAAAGAGCAAATGTACGTTAACTGTTGAATTATATTTCATATTGTACAATACGCATTATTAAATACAAACTGAATCTCGCCCTAACTGCATAGACAAAATGTGATTTATTTTTTACTAATTAGTAATAAAGATATTAGGATTATTATTAGTACGAACATTTTTGTTTATTATAAAATTTTCAACAAAAAAGTCATGATGCTTTTTAAACATAAGTTATTTTTTTGATATTCAGTTCATGATATATAAGAGCAAGAAAATATACAACCACCTTTCAATGTGCTATAGGACAATAGCAATTTTTAACGTCTGCAAAAAACCTACTATGACTCAAAGGAAGATTACGATCATGTATTTTAACTCTTAGTATTTCAGATGCTTACATATCTGTAATGATTTATCTATTTATTATCTGAAATGGTTTATATATTGTTTTATTTATGTGTATTCGTATGTGTACATTTTTCAACCCTATAATGATTGTTCACTGTATGTCATAATTTTATTACTTTTATTTTTAAACTTCAACATTGTTGACTTCATAAAGTTTCACTGGCTTTGTCAATGAGGATTTCTTGGACAATAAAGCATGATTGATTGACTTGTGTCATTAGCGATAGCTAATATGACTTGACTAACGTGCATGTACAAAACAATTGGAAAGTCTCGAAAACTTTGAAAAACTATAACTTACTTTCTTTTAATAATTGGTAATTCATATTCTTAATAATATTTTCAGTAACGGAGTTGACTCATAATTTAATTGTCATACTTCACAAATACTATACGCATATATACAGACGGCTCAAAAACCAAAGAAAGCTAAGGATGTGGAGTGTACTCCAGATCTATGAGCCTAAGGATTAAGTGGTGAATGGAAAAAAATACCAGTGTGGCTGGTATCCTAATCACCACAAAAGAAATAACCAGGAACTGGCAGAAACATAACAAACTGCACTGACAGCAGACAAGCCCTATTAGCCTTGAACAGACAACGTGTTACCTCAGGGCTAGTACTAGAGTGCCACCAAGATTTAGCCAAAGCCTCGGAAGATAATAACATTACCCTGAGTTGGGTTAAAGGCCACGACAGGAGTAAATGTAATCGCATTGCCGACTCTTTAGCCAAGGAAGCGGCTGAACTAAGAATTTTAGGACACAGTGGGTCCTACGGCCTGATCACTTCGACAATAGCGGAACCAGCCAAATCTTATGCCCAAGCTCAAGCCCTAAGGAGATGGGATGGAATCAAAAGATGCAATCTTGCCAGGATCACCCTGGGCAACCCTGAAAAGCTGGCGCCGAAGAAATATCTGGCGATGACCAGGAAAAACCTACACTTAACAGTAGGATTTCTGACTGGCCACTGTCAACTAAGGAAACACCTCTATAATATGGGGCTAGTGGACCCACCTTTATGCAGGATGTGTGAACAGGAAAATGAGACTTTCAGGCATGTCCTTTGCGAGTGCCTGGAGTTATCGTCAATAAGATAGTGTGTGTTCGGCGAGTCTTGGCCTACACCTGCCGATATAAAGGAGATATCTCCCAGTGGCCTGTCCACCTTCCTGAAAAGGACAGGATGGACGATGACCTAGGAGGACAACTCCTCGGGAGGATGTAATGGTTCACATGTGGCCTAAGTGCTGTGGGCTTACACTCACCCTCCCTACTCTAAAGAATTGTCATACTTTGCTTTTTTTTTCGTTTATTCAATTCACTTCATAGGTCAGATAACCTTTCATCCCCTGGCATTGCCATAATGAATTTTTTCGATTATACATTTTTTATTTCTATTTTACAGCGCAACTTAGTAGAAGGATATGGTTACCCCTTCGAATCTCACGACGTTATATCAGGATCCGGATACATTCTAACGTTGCACCGAATTCCTCATGGAATCAAAAAAAAACATTGGAAAACATTGAACCGACCTGTAGCTCTATTCCAACATGGGCTAGTTGCTTCGTCTGATGCTTTTCTTTTCAGAGGGCCAGATTTTGACTTGCGTAAGTAGATTCGGTCTTGGAAAATTTCATAGTTCTTAACTGGTCATAAAAACCGCTCAGACAAAATCTCATCTATACTCATTCATCCCTGTTTCTCCGTACTGGAATGTTCTAGGAAGCTAAGGAAAGTCTTAGATGCGCCGTGGGGGAAAAGGGGGCGTTTACATATGAAAACTACCTCTTCATCACTGTTTCTTCGTACCTCGGAGGCTGAAATTTTGTATGTGGGTTCGTTTTATGTTGTAAATGTGCAACAAGAAAGGATTTTAAAATATTCCAACTGGGGCGCCAGCCGCAGAGGAAATGGTGCGTTCTTTTGTTTAGAATAAAAGACAAGCACTATAGGAAAATCCTTTAGGCAATCTAAGAGCGGTGCCTATGCGAAAGTAGTGAATCATATGGGATTTGTATCGCTGGAGATTAAATTCATTTGGATTTTGTCATAAACGATGCAAAATTGTGATTGTGATGAAAAGTGATTCCATCCGTTTGTTCATTCTAGAGAAATAGGGCACAGTAGATAAAAAACTGTTACTTTCAAAGAGTATTCAATTCAGTTATTATTGGAATTATAAACTAAATGCAGTCGAGGCCTTAAATAGCTTCCAAAGTTTTCAGAGTTGAAATACCAAAAGAAAGGAATAGCCTAGCAGGCTATAATGAATCCCTCAATATTGAATGAAATTCACTCGATCTGAGGAAAGCGCACATCAGGTGCTTTGATAAGCCGCCGAATATTTTTGAAGAGGACCCATACATGGGCTTATCATTGTGTTGTTGCCGCAGGTGTGAAGTGATTTCTGCGGCTTTTATGTGAGACTTTTGCTGAAGGGGTCTCAACTAAGAGATCATCTCGTTTAATGTCATCAGTTGCTCGGACACTTGCCATAAAGACAAATGCTGCTCTCCCTGCTCTCTCATGGTCGCTGACTATGCAGAGAAAGAGATCAGAACTTCTGATGACTGTTTTCATCCAGTACCATTCTGTCACGTAAACCTGCCAAACTTAAAAGTCCACGACCTCCCTGTTGTCGAAGAAAGTATAACCGTAAAACGCAATATTTAGGAGAGAGATGACTTGGTACAACTCATTCCCAGTCCATTTCACTACATCAAAGTACTTAAGGAATATCAGGACTACAACCATATTTATAGCAGCAGCTTTGTTTTACTGTGCTGATACTTGCCAGGAAAAGAGTTTCTCACTGAGGTTACCTCTTGTGAGGGACGATGTTCAACCCCGAGGTAAGTCTGTTTTGAGATGGACCGTTGAACATTTTCATCTCCCGAATTCCACTCGTGTTTTGCTATTCAATAGCTTTCTCAAAAAACATCAAATTATATAAGATATTGAAATAATCGAACAATCAGCCAGCACAAGTATCTAACAATTGGAAAATGATATTAAAAGTCAGATATTATTTCGCCTTGTATAGGTATTCATTGAACATGTTTATTTGACAAGTTAATGAATAAATCGTGGTTTCATTCCAATAGAAACTTCAAATGAATTCTATTGTTATTTGCGAACCTTACATAATTTCCCATGTGTTCACGTTCAACATTTCAAGGAATATTGAACTTTTTGCTTTCATGCAACGAGGTTAAGTGAAGAATTATCATCGCAAAGATATATGCTCATAAGCACATATCTCAGAATCTGCACGTACATGACTGCTAGAATGGTTACAAATTAGTTGTAATTCATACAGAATTTTTCAAGCTTAACAGTATTGAATGTCAGAGTAATTTTTTCATTTGGTTTATTTCTTTTCATGTTGTGGGATAAAGTAATCATTATTATAATGATGGAACAAATTATTATAATTTTTGTTTCGTGATAATTTCAACCTTCCATCCTTGAACTTTTAGTGTTATCAATTCGTTTGCCTAAAAGCATGAAAGATGTTTTCTCAATAAAGAATAGTTTAAAAAACTAAATAACACACTAATTTAAGATTGTGTTCAACATCGATAATAAGTCATATGACTTATCCTGGCGATCCTGACCAGGATAATGAAATAAACTTATGAAATTATTGTATTGTCCAAATTCTTGATAAGTGTACAAAGTTTAAAATACATCTGTTAGTTTAAAATTAGTAAAAATCAAGTTCAAAAGAATCGGTCACGAACAAACATACAAGTGGAGCTACTAAAATCGTGATAATAAAAAAATCTCTTCTGAAAAATAGCCCTCAATATATCATTAGTTATTGATTTCATAGAAAAATTAACATAAACCGTGAGAAATTTCCAAATTAGAAAATACGAGCATATAATTGTTGAAAGTATAACAAGCTACTAATTCATTTTTCACTTTCAGCATACACTTTGGCAGATGCTGGATATGATGTGTGGCTGAGTAATATGAGAGGAAACGTATATTCCAGAAAACATAAAACTATGGATTCAACGAAAGATCTTCAGTTTTGGGATTTCACGTAAGTATATCGACTGAATGCCATATTATACTTTCATCTACGTGTAAACACAATTCATTATGTTGAAGATACATAGAAATGAAACCGCGGTTCATGATAGAATTTTTTTTGTGAGAAATTTTATTAAAACAACGAAAAAAATAAAATAAAAACAACAATAAAAATTAATTGGCGCTCCGGGGCGACTTCATTGATTCCAGTGGCGCATTTGCTTTTTCAACTGCAGGAAAACCCGGAAAAACCTGCAGCACCACATCATCTGAAGATCTTGATCTAACAATGGCCTCTCTCTTATAAAACAAGGGTGTCTCCAGAGGCTCCAATAAATTTAATGCATCGCCAGAACACTTCGTGACACGACTATCGTCAAACTTAAACCAGTCCGTTTCGTCTTTGACCAAGGCGTAATAATGACCAAATTCAACGCCACAACCACAGTGAACAATGACTGCATGAATATTATAATAGTGGTCTGCTAGGTTGAAATGTTCATCTATTTCGAACCTTCCAAAGAGTTTCTTGCTTCCATTAGAGATTGAGTCTTGTTTGAAAATCATCAGTGTTATTATTAGATTGACTGGTGCCTCAGCTATACTTGTTTCCTTATAACAGTCAGTTAGTTTGGCGCATGTTTGACAATACAGTAGATCATCACCTGTTAAAAATTCCATTTTCAGATGATTTAACAATAAGCTTTGCTTTCATTTGTTATATCAGATTTGGTTCATCAATGCTCCAAGTGCATCCTGGCTGTCTTTAAAAATATAAATCCGCTTATTACGTTCAGGCCTCAAATTATTATGCATACACTCCAATTTCGGAGGCTAATGTATTGTTACGTTTCCCCCCGTTGGTTGACCAATAATTGACTACACTGAATAATCAAACTTAACTTTATTTCACTTCAAATACAACAAACACTTCAACTAAAACTTCAACTATTATTCGAATGTCTCTCGCCCTACTAGATCACTTCGCGTACCGCATTGTAGCTTCCATTTGACTGTCTTGATTTGCTCATGGCTAGCGTTTGAATATCGTAATCGAATACCGTAGAAATTTCACCGAAGTTGCCTCGAAATCGGTGGCACTATTCTCGCTGATTCTAGAGCGGCAGGGAACGTTGTGCATTCGCGCGCTCTTAGCTACGTCACGTTTGGTTTATGGTTACCAGTGGCGGCCGCGTTATATTCTTTCGGGCATGATATACAACAGTATACTAACTAATCGGGTAACTGAAATGAATATTTCTACGTGTACATTTTCAGTTCGTCTGTATACCAATTGTCTCTGCTAAGCAGGTTTTCTTCGCGAAGTTTATATCGAACATGATTTCGATGTGCTGTGGTCTGAAAATATGCTAGATCTTCGTTCCTTCACATATTACGAAATTTTTGTTTTGTGGGATCACGTGTAAGTCGGTGAATTTTCCAATCTGATCTGAATTGGCTCATCATTTCTTGCTTTATCGTTACGAAATGTAAACTAGTAATTCCCTAGCATGCACGTATTTGCACGCTGCTTAATTCGTGGTTGTTTGCTTCATCTTTGGCCACCAGCATATATGTTATCATGGTGTAAGGCTAATACATTACGAGTCTGTTTTCAGCTCTCACGTCTTTCCGCAAGTGAATCTAGTCAGCAACAGTACTACATTAACTTTTCTTTTCACTCTTCCTGCATGTTGTTTTCATATCAATTTGAGATCTAGTATCTTTCCCAGATCGGACCAGAACCAGTCATTGGCATCGCTTTAGGCATTGCTAAACAAAGATTGAACACCTGGATGGCAGGAAGATTTATGGACTTCTGGCAGAATGTTCCAGGAGTGGCTCAGTCCAAGGCGTTTATTCACCCTTCGAAGCTTGATACAAACAGTTGTTGGACTACAGTAAGGATGAACTACGATGTCTAGGCCTTCTTACAGGTCACTGTAATGAGATTTTTAGAGTTCGACAGAGTCTTACCATCTGACCTGAGAAACCATTCACCATTCGAACTGATCGGCTTCGTTAAGAAGCTGGGTTTATTTGGTCGAGTGTAAATAGGTGTGGGCCACAATAAACCCTGTGGGTTGCGGTGGAGGGTCGGATAGACCCCCTCACTTTAGACCTAACCTAACTCAACCTATCTTCCCCAGATATTTCACTTTTCCTGTGATGTATCTCTTCACCTTGAGAGATCGAGTGAATGTAACTGACCGGAACATGATGGCAATTTATATCGAAACATACTAATAAGACATAGTCTGATTTCCATTACAGAAGATTTACGATATCACGACTCGTGTTTTGCTATTCAATAGCTTTCTCAAACAAAATCCTTCTTGAGGAAGCTATAGCATTCGAAACAAGTTATCACTAACTTTTTCTACTGTGAACGATTTCGTAGTCCACCTCGTCATAATATTCAGGATCTAACCTAATATGGGGTCTTTCATGTGGAATGGTATCGTCCCAAATTCGACAATTTTGTTTGTTCCCGTACCCATTCATCCAGAAATGAGCCTCATTGCTGAAGATGATTTTTAGGATCAGCTGTTCCAGAGCTCATTCAGCGAACACACGTCGTTGTCTATTGACGTCAACCTTCAGTTCCTGGGTCAATTGAATTATGTTCGAGATCAGCTCCAAGTCACGATGCAAAATTTGTTTGGTCAGCGAAAAGTCAAATTCTTGTCAGTGACGCGAAATCGCCTCTGATTCTTCTGGACACTCTCACAGAGAGCGGTGATGTTTTTGGCAGATCTTGCGTTTCTTTGACGTTCGCGTCAAATTTATCCACCACATTGCGAGTACTCCTCTTGGTAGAATGATTATGACGACCGTAAAATGGACTGAGCGCGCGGTACGTTGCCCGAACAGAACACCCATTTTGATAAAACAATTTTATTATTTGCTCTTGTTGTTATTTGGCAAAACAGACTGAATAAATGACTACTGATTTGACAGATGTTGTTTCGCCATGATGATCATTATCAACTGTCAAATTTCAAAATTCAAATATTAATGTTATATCCTTGAATTTCAGTCTTCACGAAATAGGTGTTCAAGACTATCCTGCAATTTTCGACTACATCCTCAACAAAACCAAACAACAGGATCTTTATTTTTTGGGACACTCAGTTGGATCAACAGCTGGATTCATTTTATGTTCGGCGATGCCACAGTATAACAAAAAAATCAAATTGCATCTCTCTCTTGCGCCTCTAGTGTATGTTAATCACTCGATAACACTGGCACAGAAAATGCTGATATTTCCTGGACTATCTGTTATGGTGAGTAAATATGAAACACAATATGCATATTCAGGTCCCAATTTTTTCCTTAAAGAATATCGATTGAATCAAAGAAAAATCATTTCAATGTTAGTTTTTACAAAACAACGATAAAAATAAAAACAACAATAAAAATGAATTAACGCTCCGGGGCGACTTCATTGATTCCAGTGGCGCATTTGCTTTTTCAGCTGCAGAAAAACCCGGAAAAACCTGCAGCGCCACATCATCTGAAGATCTTGATCTGCCAATGTCCTCTCTCTCATAAAACAAAATGTAGGATGTCTCCAGAGGCTCCAATAGATTCAATACATCGTCAGAACACTTCGTGACACGACTGTCGTCAAACTTATACGAGTCCGTTTCGTCTTTGACCAAGGCGTAATAACGACCAAATTCAACGCCAGAACCACAGTGAACAATGACTGCATGAATATTATAATAGTGGTTTGCTAGATTAAAATGTTCATCTATTTCGAACCTTCGAAAGAGTTTCTTGCTTCCGTCAGAGGTTGAGTCTTGTTTGAAGATCATCAGTGTTATTATTAGATTGACTGGTGCCTCAGCTATACTTGTTTCCTTATAACAGTCAGTCAGTTTGGCGCATGTTTGGCAATATACTCGATCATCACCTGTTAAAAATTCCATTTTCAGATGATTTAACAATAACCTTTGCACGGACTGATTATTAGTCGTATTAGGAAACGCTAGATGAAGTTCCAGAAATTCACATAAGTTTTCGCTACCTCTTGAACATTTACTACAAAGTAAACAAGTGAGGATTTTTCCAGCAAAAGATTTACAACCACAAGACGAGAAGGACTGTACTGAATCATTCAATCCAGAGCGGTCAGGAGTATTGATTTTGCTCACGAAGAGTATTCAACAAGAACCCCGTGAATTCGGGACAATTCTCTTGTTGTCCTAACGAGTATCTAGTGGACTTCAAAGACTCCAGGAAATCGGTTGGAGGGAAAGATGAAACATTCATATGAAACTGCAGCTGCATGAACAGGTGTTTGAGTTTGATGAATAAATAGGAAACATTTCCGTTCTCGTTCATCATTAAAACCTCGTTCTTGAAATTCTTCGTCATGAACAACACTTGTAAAATGCTATTCATGTAGCAAGTGTTTCCTAAATTATCCAATCCAATTTTCTTCTCTAGATTTTCAGGACAATTCTCTACTGATTCGTAAGGAAGAACATGCTTCACAGAATCTCCATAAGAACCATTTCTCAAAGAAAATAATCAACGAATATTGACAGTTCATGATGACATGGTGGCCTGGTGTGGCCCATTGCACACGTTCACATGAAAAATATTCTTTAGGGGACCAAGAAAATGAAATATGATTGAAATATGAAGCAGTGGGGTTGATCTCAATTTCTATTTTCTTACTCTCTTGGGATATATTTGATACTGAAAGTATCACATATATCTCCTGGTAATGCCAACTGCGCGCCTTGAAGAGTGTTTCAGTTCTGGTGTATGGAAAGTCTTAAAGAAAGTCTATATAGTCTATATATTGTATTTTTTTTTCAATTTTCTCCTATTCATGAGACAAATGATTGCCGCAAGTCTCTATGAATAGTTTATCATTTTCTGTTTGATTGGGTCAAGTTTCTTCACTGTTTATTTTTCATTCAAAAATTTGTTTTTCATATTCATTTTCGTTAGTGTTTAAAAACTACTGGAGGATAGGAAATGAATTAAAGAAAGTATTGACCTCATACTGATCGAATTAAAAAAATATTTTTGATGAAATTTTCTCCTCAAAAGCGACATGACTATCTCGTTAATAAAAATATGAAGTTCACTATACGCCGATTTTTCTGGAGATATTGATGTTTTGTCGAGATCTAGAATTTATTGTCTATAACTCGATATTTTTTCAAAAGTATTTATTTGATAAGTTTATTTTTGAAAAATAAATTTAATTTTTCATATGTTCTAGGAAACAGCTATGTCTAATGGAATTTACAACTGTTTTCCGAGAAGACCATTTTTTTCACGAATGATGCAAATGATTTGTGAAGATGGGATGATATTCCAACGATTATGTTTGAAAGCAGTTTTCACAGTTGTCGGCCAGAAAAATTCTCAATTCAATACGGTAATTAGATGATATGTAGAAAAACAAAATTGTTGACATTTCTGTTATTCTCAATGGATTTTGAAAAAAAACATCTGATTTTGATAGATGAATCAGTTTAAGGTAAAAAAATAAAACGGAATGAGCAAATTGAAAAAAAAGAATAAGTACAGTTCAGATACTTATTCATTCAGGCTGCTCTTTTCGAGATTTGAAATACTATTCATGAAACAATTCAGTCAAAAAGTGAGAAATTACAAAAATGATCTTTTCTGAAAGAGCTACACTGCAACTTGGAGATTATTTTTACTGACAGTCATACAGACATTGAAGAAAACTGATTGATACTAAAGATACGTTCAATTTCTCATCACTCATAGATGTTCACCTCTAAAACTATTTCTTTAGATATATAAAAGCTTGATCATATTTTTCTGAAAGATAATAATGGTATTATGAAGTTGGTTAATATATGTGTTAGTTTTTTTCAAAAGTTTTGTCCATTTCAATGAGTCTACTTCAAACTGTAATATCTCAGTGAAAAATAATTAAATTGAATCGAAATAAGCGCCATTTGAATCACTACACTTCTGCCATGTGCTCGGGATTCAATGAAGTCGACGAAGGCCGTTTTTGGCTGGTCCTGATTGGTGAAGGTTCTACCCGTGAGAAAGTTATCGGAGTGCTTGAAGAAATGGTACTCGGTTGGCGAGAGGTCGTGCGGATGGGCGTTGTCGTGGAGCAGGATCAGACCTTTTCTGTTGCCCACTGCCGGATGCTGTTGTTGCAATTTTCGATACAGTTCGTCGATTTCTCACGATAAGACTCTGCTGTGATGATTTGATCCGGTTGCAGAAAATGAATCTTACCAGCCCCTATGACTACCATACCTGAACCACTATCCTGAACATCTCATGTTGTCGTTGATGATCCACTTTTCATCACACATGATGATCCGATCCAAAAAAGGAAGGATTTGGTTGTGCAAAACCAAAGCAGAACAGACTTTTGAACATGACAATTTTTGTGGACCATTCAAATCGTGGGGAACCCACTTTTCGAGCTTCTTAACCTTTCCAATAGATATGTTTTAAACCAGTGGTCGCCAACCTGTCGATCGCGAGCTACCGGTAGCTCGCGGAGGCAATTCTGGTAGCTCTCACAACGATTTTAATTTAAAAATTACAAACTGCAAAAATCAGAGAAGCTTCCGAAAAATTCCACAAAAAAATCTAATTGTCATAATATTAAACATAAACAGCGGCAACGTTGCGGTGAGCGATCTGCCGCTGACGCCATCAAGCTAGAATCGGCTAGAACCGGACCAGCCGGACCAGCGCGTTAGTGTTCGAGAACGATCTGGATTGCTTTGAACGGGATAAATACGCACAACGCGGCGACATTGCGCTTAGTTTAAAACTGAACGCGTAACCAACGTCCAGCGGTTGGGTTAGTAGAGAACAACACTGGCAAGCAGTTGTAAGAAGGTAAAGACATACCACTTTCATTCGGAATGGGAAGAACAATACTTTTTTACAGAAGTTAAAGATAAAAATGTGTGTTTGTTATGTAATACTTCGGTCTCCGTTGCTAAAAAAGAAAATATTGAGAGACATCATAAAACTGTACATTCTAATTTTGAAAAATCATTCCCACTACATTCTGCCGCCAGAAAGGAGAAACTGAAACAGTTAAAAAAGCAGTTAATTGGACAACAATCAATGTTTTTGAGAACAGTCGACAAAAATAAGGCTGCAACTGAAGCATCGTACCGTATGCCCCAGATAATTGCACAAAAAAAGAAACCTTATGAAAACGGGGAAATGATAAAACAGGCATTTTAGAAGCTGCTGATTCGTTATTTGCCAACTTTAGAAATAAAGACGAGATAGTTTCAACTAAAAAATATATGCAACTTTCTGCTGATACAATGATGAGACGTGTAGAAGTAATGAGCAATGATATTTTTTTACAGTTAAGAACTGACTTAGATAACTGTGTTTATTTTTCACTTCAACTGGATGAATCAACAGATGTCGTTAACACTGCCCAGATGGCCGTGTTCGTCAGGATGGTTTTTAGTGATTTTACGATTAAAGAAAATCTTTTGAGGTTCATTCCACTGAAAGGACACACTACTGGACATGAGTTGTTTTCTCATTTAAAAAATATTATTTCTTCCGAGAAAATTCCAATATCGAAAATGGTAGGCTTGACAACCGATGGCGCTCCAGCTATGGTGGGTTGTGATAAGGGTCTGGTGGCGTTATGTCGTAAAGATGAAACTTTTCCGCAATTTCTCTGTTACCACTGCATTATCCATCAGCAAGCATTATGTGGAAATTTCCTGAAACTAAACAACGTTATGAAACTGGTGGTAAAAATTGTGAGCAAGATTAGAGCTCAAGCGTTACAAAGAAGATTATTCAGAACCTTGGCCGATGAAGTTGACTGTCAATACGGGGACCTACTCCTTCACTCTGAAGTCCGATGGTTAAGTAGAGGACGGGTGCTGAAACGTTTTAATGATGTCCTATCTGGCATAGTTCAAATTTTCAAACAACGCGATGAACCGACTAGGAATGTAGCTATGAACAAGTACGTACTAGTAATATTAGTTATTTTGTTATTAGTTTATTATTAGTACCTATGTATTATGTATTACCAGTTAAATAGTAAAATAAATACATATAATGATAAATTAACTGTGGATTATTTCATTTACGTTGCGTTACGTGGCTTCCGTGTGGGTAGCTCGCTGTTTATTCCAAAATTAACAAAGTAGCTCAACACATTGAAGAGGTTGGCGACCACTGTTTTAAAGTATCAAAAATCGCATGGGAGCTCTCAGTTATTCCGCTTGCCCACCCACCGTTTATGAAGGGGTCAATCTCCACCAGAATCCTCAAATCCCTGTCCTGTATAACTGTATTGAGATATGAAGTTACAAAAACACATGACATGACAAAACTTGTGAAATAACCTCATATCAAGGGTTATACATGAGTAGCTTCTAGAAGACACACCTCGGAATTTTTTATGTATGAAAGCATTACAATTTTTTCTTCCTAGGACTTCAATTGGTGATGTGATACAGTCATAATCCAGTCAAATTAGACAATTTGATTTACGATAATTCGCATAGAGCTGAAAATTGACTTGATACAGGTCTTGAAACCAATATTATGAATGATAATTTTCCTCATTAACGATACATGTTACAAGTAAAAATATGTGGAGAGTTATAGCGCGAATCGCCAATTCAAAAGTTGAGGAAGACGTATGACGTATGTCATGAACCATGGTATTCTTGGAACCTACGTTTACTGCATGATCTATCGTAATTCAGTTTTATTGAAAAATATTACATCAACTAATAAACAACACAACTGATAATAATAAAATTGAAATGAATTATTTATCGGCAGAATTGAAACTGATAAATTTAACTCAATATCAACTTCGTTTCTTCATTCCTCTCCTTCTTGAATATCCATGTACCAATTGTAGAATAAGTGTCCTCATTGTGGAATGAGAATCCTTATCTAATAATTGTAGCATGACAATCCTCATCTACTAATTGTAGCACAAGAATGAATGTCATCGATGATATGATAAGATTTGACTCATTCCTGACATCAAAGTCACACTCACCGTAAATGACCTTCAATAAATTTTGTAGCACACACGGAATCAGTAGAGACTAAATATTTCATTGGACAGTTTATTCAAGAACTGAACCAATTTTCAACTCTATGCACATTATATCGTAGGCTCAGCACTTTTTCGTTCATTTTTACTGGTCTAAAATCTTCAATATTACATATTCCTATCGTACAGCCAGTCGCTGTGACCAAAATCAATTTTTTATATCCAACTGACGTCTACTCGAAGCTTTCTCTTGATAACCCAATGGTTCACCAAAGTAAGTTAATTTATTTCAGGTGCACCCTTTTTCAGAGCTACTTACCATCCTGTTTCGAATACTTTCCTGCAGGGACGTCAATGTTTTTAATGCAACACACTCTTCAGTTGTATGTCAAAGGTATGTACAATTTCAAAATTCATGAAATGCATGTAATTGGGTGAGGAATTTGAAATTCCCACAGGAATATATCCATCAGATCAGGTCAGTTCAAAAACTGAGGTGAATTTTGCCAAAAAGTATCTATTTATTTCTATTGTGTTTCCTTCAAAGTCAGGTCATTTAGAAGCCCCGATCCAGATTCTTCCAAATCCCAATTTATCATCCCAATGATGACCAACAAGGAGAACCAATATGCACTCAATGTTATGAAACCAAACAAAGAACATTGAAGATATAATGAAAAAACATTTTAACTGAATTGTTTCAATTTATCTGCCAAATTTTTGTTACAGGAGATTTTTCACCGTTTGACTACGGAAATGAAACACACAATATGCAAAAGTATAATGAATCTATTCCAGCACCATATAACCTTTCTATGGTAACTCATCCAGTTTTGCTTTACTATGGATCTGGGGATATATTGGTTACAGAAGAGGTAATTATATATGGTAAAATATGCAAGGATATTTTAAATTCTTAATGCTTTCCCAATCTATATGTTAAGAAGTGAAGAAGTATAACCATCGAAAGATGAACGTAGTTTTTTACCCTAACATTTATTCCTATCTATGATTGAAATGCTACATTTTCCCAATGAGTTTGATGGTAATTAACTAGCCTGTACAATTTAACTCAACTTTATTTCACTGCTATACTAATAATTCAACAAACACTTCAACTAAAACTTCACATTAAATAATCAAATATTTATCGCCTCATTAGATTACTCTGTACCGTACTTTCAACTACACTAGACTTTTCCTTCTGCCTGTGGGGTAGTGTTTATCTATCGTAGTGGAAGTGCCTGGAAGTCGAAAGGGAAGTCTCTGGAAGTTTATCGAAGAGACGCGACATCTAGAACGATCAAAAAACGCAAGTCGAATTGAGCCAAGTCACAATTGATTGACAAAAACCAGCGGCGGTTTTTCCGGGGGATAATTTACAACAGCAATATCATCCGTTTTTAATGATAAAGTGATTACGTCTATGTATTTCTAAACCAAAATAATTTAAGATACAAACTGGAATAAAAAACCCTTCCGAAACAACTACTCTCACATGAAAAATGGATGGCTAAATCAGCTGTAGAACCCTACAGCTCATTTAGTTCGCCTCTTTCGCCCCTCTTTGCATATTCAAAAAATTATAATGATGCCATTTCTCTGCGATGTAATTCAATTTTTTTGTTCTCCCATCCTTGTCTGCTGTAAAAGTTTCATTTAGAAGAGCAACAGTAATCTGAAATGTTATTTGTTTATTAAAATCGAATCAACACAATTATTTTACCATGAAAATGTACCAGTTATCTGAGAGTGAGAAAAGTTTTTGTACCTTTATACATAATTTTCAACAGTAATTTCTGCCATATATTTTCGTAGTACAATTGAAAATATTGCACTCGTGTAATTTTTTTTTCAGGATATCATATCTACCCTTCAGAAGTTACCAAACTCCTTAGGCAAGTTCCAAGTACCGTTTGAAAACTTCAACCACATGGATTTCATGTGGGGAAAAGACGCCAAAGAATTACTTTACGATAAACTCATTGTTATGATGGATAAATATAGGTAGCATTCAATGATTTATGGAGTATTGTAAATAAAATGTTTGTACATACAATAAGACATTTTTAAAATATCTCCTCTATTTTTCATTAGAATTTTGTTATTGCAAATTTCAAGATATTTGGTGCTGGATTGATGTAAGAGGTAGTTAGATGTACCTAAATGTATGGAGTCTATTGTCAAATTGATCAATGTAGTATAGATATAGATTTCAGAAAAAATTCCGAATAAATCTCCCAACCATTGGTAAATACTCATCACAAGAGTCAAATATGCAGCACCTACATCCAATGAACCTACTTAAAGTAAGAGTACATATGGCATATTTATGGAGTCTAATACAATAGCCAAATGTATGCAGATAACAATGACTGAGATATGTATCCTATCTTTAATAGGAAAAACTTATTGATTTTCCACTTCTATATCATTTATGGAGAACCTGAAGACCCTAAATTTTGATATTGTCTTATCCACGGTGAGACATGTTCCAAATAATCTGCTTATAAATACATATAATTGAAGTGTAATCGATCGCTGTCTATACGTGGAAAGGTATCCTGTAATATCCTCCAATTAAATATGGACGATGTTCATAGTTGTTACCAGAGGGAGCAGATATCTCTGAACTCCAGCAAAACTGTAATTGTCCTCTTTACTAGTACCTAAGAGGAATCTCTATGACTTTACTCCACTTTCCAAGAATATGCCATGGCAAGGTTATTCTATTTGCAGCGGAGATGAAATATCCTGGAATTATCACTTGGAAAAGGTTTCACATAAAGCCACATTGTCTTCACGGACCTATCGAAGAGTTTGTGGAAAATCTTGGGCTTACCTACATGCCCCAAACAAATCTATTAGATATATGTGATGATTGTCAGACTGATTATCAAACGCAGTAACTGTTTGGTGACCGAATATTTCAGAACATACGACTCGGAAGAGACTCTTTAGTCTACAGCAACAGGCTTGCTTGACTATATCTGGTGTTAATAACGTTACTCCGCCCGCGGCCAGAATTGTGCCTGTTGCCAATTACACAAAACAGGCTTGTGTAGAGCGTAGAAGACTATTGGCTAACACTATGTAGCATTCTGGGAATCACGTTCATCTTCATACCTCCCGACCTGCCTCATACAGTGTGTAACAACGAAAACTCAACAAAGCCGTTTTTGAATATAAAAAGTAAGATTTTTAAAAAATCTCGGACACGTCGATTTCTGATTGAAGGGGGACACCTTTCAGACTAATCAGATTTTTTGTAGTAGGTACGCACTCCCTCGGAGGGGTGCGTCCGACGTCCCTTATTTAGATAGGGAAAGTAGGTCGAGTGGCACCTTGTTTTAAAGGTCTTGCGAATACCTTTACATCTCTGTTGAAAGAAAATTTTTGTAACGATTAGTTTTCGAGATAATTTGAAGATTTCAAGGTATTTTTATTGAGTTCAACTCTTTTTAAAATGAATCAAATTGTTTTTAAGGTACAATTTACGATCAGAACTTTCATAAAATTTTTTTTTTGCTTTTTATGACAACCTGCTAATACATGTCCATTTGATTTCGTGAAAAAGTAAGAATTATTTGTTTATTACGAGGAGATTTTTTCGGGGGATGGGGTTGATTGCCACCCTTACATTTTAGGTAAACTTGAGTGGCACCTCCTTATGAAGGTTGCCTTTTGACGTGGATATTTTATGCTTCTGATAAAAAAGTGAATCATACTAAAAACTTACCTACACAACGAATACAACCTGCTGATGACACAGAAAAGTTTAAAAAACTGTTTTAGAGTTAATAAATCCCAATAATTGTTTTTTAGGCACACACAAAAAAAGTAACACCTAATAAGGGTAACTCACATAGGAAATTTCATCCGACCAATAACGGCAATTGTGACGGTTCACGCAACCATTTAAATAAAATGAGCTTTCGTCCGAAAAACAGATATTATAAAGCAGCTCGGGATTTTGCATTAATCTCTCACTCATGCCCTAACAAAACTCCTGTCTTCGGTCAAAATCATCCTCATTGAGTTCATGAACAAGTTTAATTTTGTAAGAATGGAATTTGTGGTTTTTAAGGATTCTCCATACGCTCATATGGCTTATTCCGCCATTGCAGATAAACCTCTGGTACTCAACCTGATCACTTGACCAATCACCCCAATCGCATTATCGTCATTCACTATCCTCCTCTGAACATTTCTTTTCTTATTTAAAACCGAACCTGTCTCCCTGAATTTCGTGACCAAATCCAGAACGTGATTTCTGCTTAGGTGTTTACCAGGGTTTTGCTCGTTAAATAAAATTGATGTTCTATTAGTATTTTGGTCGTTGCCAAAAATTAAAGCTATAACTGAAACCCTTTCAGCAGTAGTGTAAGGCATTTTTAAACAAATAACAATATACACGACCCGTTTAAACAAAACAATCGAACGATGTACTAATGAAAACTGGAAGAAGAGGAGTGGGTATTGATTTAAATAAAGGTATTTTATTTAACAAAAAACTGATAAGAAGAACTGCTCGAATTTTTTTTTATTTAGGCATACAAGTTACCGAGTGGTCTGTCTAAATGTATTATTAACATGGCAATTTTAACTTCAAATTATCTCGAAAACTAATCGTTACAAAAATTTTCTTTCAACAGAGTTGTAAAGGTATTCGAAAAACCTTTAAAACAAGTTGCCACTCGACCTACTTTCCCTATCTAAAAGGGTCGTCAGACGCACCCCTCCGAGGGGTGATTAGTCTGAAAGGTGTCCCCCTTTAATTAGAAATCGACGTATCTGAGTTTTTTTTAAAAATCTTACTTTTTATATTCAAACACAGCTCTGTTAAGTTTTCGTTGTTACACACTGTATAGTCCTAATCCCAAGCAGAGATGATTGGATTATCGGAGAGGAGAAAATACTAAGAGCATATGTCTTTTCGTTCACAGATAAATGAAAAACGCATTAGCCTGCCTAGTGACCTATGCGACCGTGTTTCAACCAGAAATCTATGACATTGACTAGAACCTGCCAATAGTATTGCTTCAGGCTTTATCAACAAATACTGAAAACCTGGACTGCAAGAAGTGTTTCAGACTTCTGTTGTGAAATGTTCTCTGTCGTTTCCACTGCACAAACAGTTTTCATTCTGCCTTCTGTAGATGATGTTTTTATAATAGCCTGCGGTGTTTTTTATATCGTATCTTCTGAGCCAAAGCGGGAAAACCAAGATACTGGATGAGATCATTGTTGAGAAGACGAATAGATCATGGATCAGATGAAGTCACACACCAGCACAAAATAGTGAACTGTATGGTTGCTTGTTGTTGCCGACCGATTCCACATATCGAACTCCGTTTACAGATAGATCGACCTTTTAATTATTTCGTCTGCTAACGAGACATTTCGTTGATGACGAAAACAGTCGCCCGTGACACAAAGTCTTCAAAAACTTTCTCATTTTGACAACTCAAGTTTTTGTATTATCAAAATCGACACAGTGCTGCTTTGTTGTGATTTTGTCTGTTTGATGAAAACATGAAACATACAAAACAGTTGATGTTGGGTCCATGGAAAACTCAAAAACAAAACAATGAACAAAACACATTTATTTCATACCTATATCATGTATACAAATGAATGTTAATATTATTGCTAACATCAAACATACAATATTTCTTACAGTTAAGTACATCTTTCCATAAGTAATAAAATAACACAATAAGTAAATATTTCAATACACGTTTATTATTAGCGCTTCATAAAAAAGGAAACAACCTTACTTATATACAATAAGTTTGATTCTCTTGGACAGATTTGCAATATATTATAATACAGTTGCTGGAGGGAATGTTTTTTTGAAACGCCCTATGTGTCGCATTTCTCGAAATGTTACACATACTGCGTTGAAAAAGTGCGCCGAAATGGCCTTAACAATTGCTGGCATTGGATGTGCAAGCCATAAGCAACACTACAGTGCTTAAACTTACATTATCGAAAAAGCCAGCTTTGGATTGACTCTGTTTTTGGAGTACTTGCCCTTGTATTTGATCATATTTACACAAATCATAATTTAATAAAAATCTTCATTATTATTTCATAATCCATTTTTGAAAAGCATCAAGTTTCAACTGTGAAAAAAACAAAATCACAATAACAGAAATACCTGCAAATGTTATATGCTCGAGGATACTTCAATTTCAATAACCAAAAATCCTCTCAATGCCTAACCATAATAATTATGTCGTCACTAAATACAAACCTCACATGCCATCTGATGAAGACATAACATCCTTTTCACGAAAGGAATTTTCAATAGTTTTTCTCGATAATGGAGGAATAAGTGACATTGATGATATTTTTTCGAGCTCAAACCGTCCGAACTGTCAATGTCATCAGTAAAAACAATTCAGATATTTGACATATTTGAACCAATTCATTGACTATACCTTCTAATCAAGACAACCCGAAAAAAATCCATGAGGCATTATCTAATGGCAACAAACGAAGTTGAAACGATATACAAAAATTCAGTGGTCCAATAATGAAATATAAAGCAGGCCACCAACCATTCCTTGTCAATTCGATAAGGAAGAGTGATAGCCAGTTTTTATAATTCGTTTTTGGTATTCATGATTTTTGTCAATGTCATTTGTCACAATGATTCAGAGGTAAAATCAAACTACTAATTGTTGTTACTATATTATTGCTTATTGCTGCCCAACGAACAGAAATAACCAATAAAATTAGTAATTAGTAGTTCAAATTTTATTTGTGAATTATTGCATCAATGCTATTGAGAAATTTTATAGAATTCATGATTTGTAACAAAGGAATTTAAAATTGTTCACACATCGTTTCTTAATGAATTCGTTCATCCAAAACCTAACTGTGACGTTTTGCATTGAACTTTTTAAGGTATATTCACATACCATAATCTAAAAAATAAACACCTTATACTGGTGTAGGAAAGGAAAACTGAAATCCGAAACATTTTTCACAAAGCAAAGTGTTCTGTTCATCGGTAACTATTTTATAAACGTTGCCTACTTATGAAAAAAAAAATTAAAATTTCATTAATAATTAACTTTTCGAAAGCTAAAATTCTGTTTTCAACAGAAATGGAAAAAATTAAATATATATCGCAGTTTTCTAGTTTTATTTTTCTTTTTCTTTCTTGATAGGTATCAAAATAGATTTGAACATGAAATATATCCGAGTTGTTGATTAACTTTTTGAAACAGTAAAGGTATACAGTACGGAAGCGCAGAGGGGTCACATATTTTCATTGTTTCTTGGAAATTACGACGTTGAAAATCGAAATTTCGCTTTTACACTTCCATGATAAAGTAATCCATTATAATTTTCATTTTTTCAGATTGTAGAAGATGTAATTATTTAAAAATATCTATGAAAAACATCGATTTCCTCCACAAAAACCTACGTTGGTTGTATCTGTAGTGGGTAATTGAGGATAAAAAATATGAGAATATCCAAATATAATATATAATGGTTGATGAAAACAAAAAAAACACTTCAAATGTTCTGAAGTTCACTTTATAATGGAACATGGAAGGTTTCTCAATAACGAAAGCTTTAGATTATAGGGACATTCGCTTGAAATTATTTACTAGAGAAGGAGAGAATTATGATCAATTCATCACCTGGATAGAAACCACTTTGTCAGTTCTTTCACCAAATTCCCAATATTATCAAAATTTTCAATAGTGCCTTGTATCCAACATTTTATTAAAGAGACACCAATCCCAAAATCAGTAACTATAAAATTGATGATTTCATGTTTGTCACTGGTATGTTTATTTTGTATGTAGGTACTGTCCCAACTTCAGAAAATTGTTGTCAAATTTATATACTACATTTCCAAAATATATGAGATAATTCATGTCAAACAAAGGCAAGTACTGAACCCTTACACTTAATACTGTACAGAGAAATCAAGAAGAATGATGAAAATTCGATCATTATGAGAAATATCATTGAAGCATGTTGTGAACATACATGAAAATCGTTCCAACACTGTGAAAATATCTTGGTAAAACAACTAGAAAGTAAAACGACCTATTCGACCATAGTTCTTGACTCCTCTTCGTCAAGCTACATTAAAACAATATACACTATCCAAAACGTTAAGTACTGAATATGTTAATTGAAATACAGTATTTCAAAATGCTTTCACTTAAACAAATTAATGAATAATTATCTACACCACATAGATTAATGGTAAAATTCAACAATGGTAAATGCTGCCTAATTAAAAGCTCATTGAACAAAAATTCCAGATGAAAACAAAAACCCTAATGCTATTGAAACAACAATAAAAATATGAACAATAAGGTAAGTACAGTATGCTTTTTTTTAAGTACCTATGTACTACATTTGACTGGAGCAGAAACATATTCCTGATAGTCATCGTCCCTGACGTTAATAACGTTGTTGGAACTCGTGGTGCCATCTGTTGAAATCGATATGGAAAACGACTATGGAGCCCAGCGCCAGGCCTGCCATCAAGAATCTGCAACGAATTAATTTTTTTTCATAAATCATCTCAGAATTTAGAAATGAATGAATATATTAGGAATGGAGGGGAAGTCTTTTTGGATTCAAGATGAAAAAATGTTCTGCAAATTATGTGCTATCAAAAACTTGCTTGGAAAGCTTTGTGAAAGAACGGTTTTGACTTTCTACTTCTCCATCTTTATACGAAAAAATGTGGGAATCGTCCAAAGAAAGGAAGAAAACAATTAATTTCAAAATAAACATTTTTCTTTGTATAAAGATGAAGGACAGAACAGACAATTCCGCTTTCTGCTTCGATAACTTTGTTGGGGGTTAAAATGAACATCAATATGTCTTGGTACAATCATGTCGCTGGAATTGCAAAGGCTGCTTCTCAGAAACTTGGAACACTGTCCCGAACCAGAAAACTGTACACACCTCAGCAACATTTGATGCTTTATGAAGCTCCTTTCAGACTTTTTCTAAAGTATTGTTCACATGTATAGAAGTCTGCTCTTTAGCATACCCTGAAGCTGCTGAAAAGAGCCAAACCCCTGAGTGGAGACACGAACATTACTTGCAACCTTGATAGTCTGGAACATCGAAGAAAGGTTCGAAATTTGTCACTCTTTTATACTTTCATAGGGATGTTCAAATGACTTGACACATTTGATTCTACCAGAAATACGCGACGGGTTGTGGCTGTTCATCGTTTAGAGGTTTAACCCAGTACACCTCGAACTTAACTGTTCAAGAACTCTTTCATTTGGAGAACTGCGTTTATGTGGAATTTCAATGAGTTGGAACCCGTTCAGCAAAAAGCTCATATAAAAGCCGCAGAGATCACCTCACTTCTGCGGAAACACAAGGATAAGCCAATGCATGGGATAAGTATATAATTTTTTTGGATTTTAGTGGTTGTTGTGATTCTGTAATAATAATGTTGATCGATTAACAAAAAATCCAACGAGAATCGCTACTTTCGCATAGGCACCGCTTTTAGAGCGCCTTAGGGATGTTCCTGTAGTGCCAAGTGCCAAAACCTCTCTCTACCAAAAATGTATGTCCCCTGAAAATATAAATGAAATCACTTGTCATGAAAGAATCATATCAAATAATTGGGATATCTGAAAAGCTGGTTTACAGGATACGCTTTTATTTTTTCTTTTGTTATGTTTAAAAAAATAAAATTAGGTCGTTCATATACCACAGTTGCGCACTAATGGTTCAATTTGTCTGTCTGTCGCTCATCCGCACGAGGTATTCTCGTTTTATGTACTTTTTCAAATTGCGAAATTTCAAAAAGAGAGAGAGCAAAAAACAGCCCCTTTCTTACATTTTCTACAGACTTGTGATGCACTGTTTGGAACCTTTAGTGTAGTAATGAATATTACTGGAGTTTTATTCCATCACCAAACCATTATTTTAACACCGCGATACGTGTTTAGATCACCAAGTGATCATCTTCTTGAAGATGATCACTTGATCATCTTCTTGAAGATGAACACTTGGTGATCTAAACACTTGTAGAGTTGTTAAAATAACGAAAAATGATCACTTGGTGATCGAAACACGTGTCGAGGTGATAAAATAACGGATTGGTGCTGGGAATAAAACTCCAGTAATATTAATTTTCTACAGAATAAGGAAAAAATGTATATTGGCTAGATTGTTGACGACAACATGGGCATATACCAGTGTGGCTCACGTATAGTCTCATTTACTATTCCCAATAACTATACAGAGTATGTTTGTCCGTCTATGATCCGCACGAGGTTTTTTCGTTTCATGTACCTACTTCTTCAAATGGTGAAATTCCAAAAAAAAGAAGGGAGATGCAAAATACAGTCCTTTTTTTTAATTTTCTGCTTTTTTTCAAGTATGAATCAGATATCGGTTTGATTGTTGATCAAAACATGGGTACAACATATAATTTAATGCAAGTAACACTTACTTTTGATCATGTGATAGTGCAAGTGACCTAACACTGCTATCACATGCCGGAAAGGCATACAACAGGGCTAAGTTGAACGTCCGCCATACTTCCACTATTCCTTTGTCGCCTCCTGTCATCAAATATTCACCATCACGGCTGAGTAATAGGCACTGAAAATAAAAATAACATTACTCAATATAACTAGTTCAGTGATCTAATAAGTTTCCTCAAGAAGGATTAGTTAGGTAACAGGATCGATTTTTTTTAACAATGTCTTCCTTAGTATTGAAAATGTGTCTATTTCAAGAAAATCATACATCTAATATCAGACATGTTCCATGTTTTTATGTAGTGTAGTTATTTCATCTAGTAATTTTTATTATTTTAGTGTTTTTCACTTTATTATGTATCTTTTATGTCTGCATTTTTTTAAATAGTTATATTTTCAACACGAAAAAAGTTCTTTTAGAGCCCTGAAGAAGATTTTAATTAAATTCGAAATACTAGAAAGAAAACAATTGTTTTTTTTAAGAAAAATTGATCCTGTTACTCAACTAACCCTTCTTGAAAAAAATTAATTACCATAATTGAAGTATCGGGTATTGTAAATTTGAAAAAATCTTCAAACTTGAAAATCTAAACGTTTTTTACTACACTCACCTGTAAGTTATCATTGTGAGACTCGTACCGGAGTCGTTTTCCATTTATTGTGAATGCTGATATATTACCCTTCTCATAATTCACAACGATTACTCCTTCTCTTGACATTGCTATGTTTTCTGGTGAAATGAACGAATAAGGTGGCTCCAATGATCGAAGCAAGTCACCAAATGTTGTATGTACCAAGACAGGTCCTCCTGGAAATTTATTCAAAATATGAATAGATAGATAGATAGATAGATAGATAACTTTATTAGCTACGTAAATACAATGTATATTTTGTAGCAGGTCCAAAAATAATATGTACATATACACATAGCTAGTACTCCTACTATTTCAAGTGTTACTTCAACTACACGTATCGCTGACAGGTGTGTCAATATACTCACGAATTGAATAGAACACATTTTCTGAAAGAAATCTTTTAATTTTTTTTTGAAGCAAATCATATCTAGAATCTTCCGACTGGATGGTAATTTATTGTAGAGAGCAACATCTAGAGAATTATTAGCAGATTTATTTAATCTAAATCTCTGTGGTCTGAGATGACCAGCACCGCGGGTGTTATATTCATGAAAGTTTGAATTCATACTTAGTTTATTTTTTCTACTATGGATTTCTAGTACTTGGTGGAAAATATAAAGAGCAGGTAGTGTCATGACTTTGAATTTCTGGAACAAAAGTTTACAATGGTCTCTGAAGGCAATATAAGCAATAATTCGAATCGCTTTTTTTGAAGTCTAAATACTAAGAGCAGGTAGTGTCATGACTTTGAATTTCTGGAATAAAGGTTTATAATGGTCTTTGAAGGCAACATTAGCAATAATTACCCAATAGAAATATGAGAGTGAAAAAAGCATAGTAGATATTCATTAGTGTGTCAGAACTTATAATATTTTTCGGTTGTCTCAGAAGAAAAATGGAGCTTGAAAGTTTTTCGGTGTGAAACTTCCAATTCAGAGAGGGATCTGCAAAAATTCCTAAAAGTTTTGTATGTTCATTGGTACTTGTTGCCTGTGAAGAAGAAAAAAATTATGCATTAGGAGAAAAAGTTGCTCTAGTCATCAAATCCCTATAAATCGTACCTACTTATTATTATTTGTTCTTCCTCGAACTGTTGGGGAAGAACAAAATTGCTGCAACAAATACGCTTGCCGTTCCAATCTTACTCTACTCGTTTGGAGTGATGAAGTTGACTCGGTAGGAGCTATATTAACTCAACGTAAAGACCCGAAAAATTATGCATCTCCATAGGAGTTTGCATCCCAAATCGTCCGTTTCACGGTTGTACTTCCCCCGACAACAGGGAGGTCGTGGACTTTCGAGTTTGGAGTGTCTACATGACAGAATGGTACTGGATATAGCCTGTAAAGTCGTCAGGAGTTCGGATCCCCTCTGCATAGTCCGTGACCATGAGACAGCAGGAATTGGAGCATTTCTCTTTAGAGCAGCTGCCCCAGCAGCTGATGAAGTCAGTTTAGTTTTCGAAACTGAACGAGATGACCACAACTCTGTCAATGAGTTGGAACCCGTTCAGCAAAAAGCTCATATAAAAGCCGCAGAGATCACCTCACTTCTGCGGAAACACAAGGATAAGCCAATGCATGGGGTCTTCTTCAATAACATTGGAGACCTTGGCTTATCAAAGCGCCTGACTTTCGCTTTCCACAAGTAGAGTGGGCTGAAGTCACAAACTGAGGGGTTCATTATAGCTTGCCACAATGGTGTATTCAACACCTTAGTCTACCGCAGTCGCGTGATGAGTATAGTGGTTCCTGACACAAGGTGCAGGGTCTGCCGCGAGGCGCCCGAGACCCTAATGCACTTGCATATGCGGTCTCGGCCTAAATCCATCGACATAACGCGCCCCTGAGAGTGCTATATTACCATCTACGGTACTTTTACGGTATTGACGAGACGCCGGTGTTGCCCTACGCTCCGGATGATATTGAATCCGTAGTGGGGAACGAGAAGTGCCGAATTTATTGGAACTATTCGTTCCCCACTCTCGGGCCCATACAAGCTAATAAGACTGATGTAGTCCTTCTCGACCACCAGAGTAAGACGATATTTGTCGTAGAGTTTCCAGCTCCTGGCGAGACGAATATCGTCTGAGAAGAGGAGGAAAAACGGATAAAATATCGAGATTTTCTCTTCGAACTCTGCAGACTCTATCCAGACCACTCTGTCAAGATGGTTGTTCTAATTATTGGAGTCCTTGGTGGAATGATGCCCTCTCTACTCTCGAACCTTAAAATCATACCGGGTTACTGCGCTTACTCAGGGCATATGATTCTAGGACCCAATGATCACTTACCCCACGGTGTGGGGAGTGGTCGTTCGTTGATAATGCTTCGGGGGATAGGGCCTGACCAGCGCATACTTCGATAAAAAAATAATAAATGCCTCAATTACTTCGGGAATTGTTGATAACATAATTTTTTTATCAAGTTTCTGAAAGTAATGAGTAAAGATCAGTTTATGAATAAATTCATCCACGCAACCCCATGCTTCATATCCATTTACTGTTTGATGTACTCACTTTTCATAATTGATTGATTTTATATTATTGGTAATTTCAGAATCATAATCTTCAACTTTAAATTTCATGCCATGTGTATTCTTTAAATTTTCATAGAATTTTATCCATAAGGGTTCACGGTCTGTTTTATACATGGTTATTGAAAGGAGCAGCATAGAAGTTTTTCAAAAATTGGTTCATATCTGTGACCATTTCCTTGAAAACTTCATTTCCAAAAAAAAAAATAATCTCTCCTTAAAAAATATTCTCTCCAAAAAATGAGTGTTCTGAAACCATTCACATCACTTTTTTATATGTTGTTTTATAATAATTGATAATAGTTTATGTTTATGGTTGCTTACCGAATGTACTCTTTTAAGTAAGATATGAGCACCAAGTATTGGGTGTATTGAAAAAAAAATTGTAAGCTGTCCCGGGACGCCTGGCAAAATTATTTTCTAGGTACAAGAAACATGTACAGAAGGACATATTAAGACAGGAACTCATATGGCATAATGTAAAAATAAAATATTAGGATTTTTTTCAAGAAAATTATGATTGTTTATTTAATAAACACTCATTTTCATCAAATATAAAAATTAAAACATTTATTTCAAATTGTGGTAACTCAATTATGGTCCAATTATAGGCCAATGACAATTGGTCGATGATAACTGAAGTGTGTTACAAAACTATTGGTCATAACATCACCAAGATATGTAACAAATATAGCACCTATTGTTGTTTCATGTCTGGTAGTAGGTTGTTGTTAATTTGCAATTGAAATTCTTCTTGGAGGAACGTAATTAACGGCATTGATTCATCTTTTGCAAAATTTACATTAAAGTTTCCAGCTAAAATCAATGCTACTTCTTCTTTATTGGTTTTAAAAATTATTGAACCTCTGTGACCGTCCGGAAATAACCTATCATGTAAGAATCTTAGCTACATATTTTCAATGTTTCAATATGAATTCCACCATCATCAAAACATAAATATTCAATTATTTTTTCTTTTTTTTTCTGATTGATTCGGCCGTTACTTGATGAAGATCCATAGTAATTTCACAAACTACACCTAAACTATTTGATCTCCACAAACTTTATTGAAAAAATATATCACAACATGTTTTGCTAAACATTAGCTTGAAAAACCTAACATGTTGTGATATATTTTTTCTATAAAGTTTGTGGAGATCAAATCGTTTAGGTGTAGTTTGTGAAATTCAATTATTTTATTGAAATTCCTGTTAATAGCAAATCAAAAAAACATTCGTACACTACTCACTATCAGCTGTAAATGTGACTGGCTGATGATGATATTAATAATTCACTGTTACAAATGAGCATGATCACATGAGTAAGTGTATTAGCTATATTTCAAAAGGATTTGCGTTTTGTGACATAGATACAACAATGCTATGGTATGATTGTCAAAACATCATAATAATACTTTCAAAAATAGTGGTCAGTCAAACTCACGGTATGATCCAGAAACTACTAAACCCAGCTCAGCAGAAATCACAACACTAGACACTGGTTGTTCATGTCCGGTGAGAGTGGCTCTAGGCGTCGGTACTTCTCCTTCTCCCACAATAGTTTGCGTTCTAGCGTTCCAATGCCACAACAAAACCGTACAGTCTGCAGATCCAGAGGCGATGTAGCAATCCGAAGTTATATTACATTCGGACCTGGATAGACAAGTGACAACTCCGTAGTGGCCGAAGATGATCTGAACAATCTTGGCTGTGTCGGTGGAGAAGACCCGGAAGCTGTTATCCCAAAAGCCGCAAGCAATGAGGAATTTGCTGTCGACTGTGGTCACGAAACAGTTCGAACGGATCTTTAGATTCTGGCTGAAGTTGTCCCCTAGATGGCGTCTCTGCATCTGATTCTGAGTGCTACTGTTGTTAGTTATAGCTGTAAGAAAGCATGTCGAATATATATAATAATAATCAAACTAGTGGTAAAAACTCAACAAAAATATGATGTTTTCCATTAAAGTAAATTCCTACAACTAACTGAACCAGTTGCACCGGTGCAACTCATACTAACACTAAGTTAACAATTATGGACGGTGTAATGCACGATCCTAGAAAGTTTCTAATCTACATTCATTATACCCGAAAGTATGTACTTTTTTCACCTTCTGAATATAATATATCTGAATATAATATAAGTTGCTAGTATTTCTGTAACCTCTCAAAGGAGAAAGACAACACTGGATGTGTTAAAATTTGTGTCGATTTCGAATCCCCAACTAATTTCCATAATCCAAACTGTTGATATGATAATTTCCTATGATCCGTTCAATAGCAAAATTTAAAATATCCCATCAAATCTAAACTCTAATTCAGTTTCAGTTTATTTCGGTTAAAAAAAAAGAAAATACATTTTCAATAGTCGGATCATTTCAGCCATTCGAAGAAAAATGGTTTGCAAACTAAGCGCTTAAGGCTTGTGTTGTGCTTTCCATTTTCCTTTTCACGGAATACTTTCCATAATAATTGGTACTATACGACATGAAAATTATTTCATTAAATATGTAATAACAGAAAGAAACACTAAAAATCAACTGCTAATTGAAAAGAAGGAAAAAACGATAGAGAAATGAAAAGCAGTGAAAGTTGGTGAAATGAATTGTTGTGTTCTGAATATTAGGTTATTTTATGTTATTTTTACATACCATTTCTTATAGTGATGCGTTTTTCAGTAGACTCATAATCATTTGTAATGATAAATTTTTTTATATTTGCTCTATAAATTTTGAAGTTTGAAATTTCCATTGTTTCTTCTGGCAGTATATTATACAATTTTGGTGCTAAATAATATATTGTTCTTTGTGTATGGCATTTCTTGAATCGAGGTAGTGATAAATTTTTTGCGTATCTAGTATCTTTTGATCTTGCCGGGCAATAGTTTGATTTATTAGAAAATATCCAAACGAGACCATGGTATGTATACAGACTTTCAACGTCAAGTAATTTGGTTTCGGTATACAACTGTTTTGTATCGAAACGTCTAGATTTTTTAAAAATTATTTTAATCAAAGAATTTTGAATGATTTGAATATTATGCAATACATTCTCGAATGCTCCCTCCTATACTGTGTTACATTATCTAATGACTGATTCAATCAGTGAATTATATATTATTAATGAGTTTTGTTTTGTTAATATACATCTTAGATTATACATTTTATATGTTAATTGCCTGAGTCTTTTGATCTTATGAGAAACGTGTTCATCCCATCTCATGTGCTAGTCCAAGACCAGTCCAAGATATTTAGTATTCTTAACCTTTTCAATACTTGGGCAGCTACATGATGTTTTTGAGCAAGTAGGTTTATGAATGTGAATCATTTGCATATCGGGTTGTTGGTTACTTTGTAGAGAAAATGCTATGAATTTTGATTTCGAGACATTGAGGTTAAGTAGATTGACATTTAGCCATATTTGTAGTTTCAAATGCCCCAGCATCTTAAGCGACCACCAGTGCAAGCAACGGTAACAAGTTGATCTCATAACATACAACATTTATCAATGATCTTTGGATTAATGCGATTATGAAATACGAGTTACTTCATGGCGTTCAGTATGATGGTTTACTAATCAAACTTAGATACTAGAGCGTGCCTGAGGGTTTTTATTTTGTTTGTTGTGAGAAGTGTTTCAACACATTTTCCTAAATAGGAGTAGATTTGGAATAGGACGTAATCAATTCTTAGCTTGCACAAATTTTGATCTGTAGGAATTGCTAATCGGAATAAGCCTACAACTACTTATGAATAAAATAAGTGGTTTTTTTATGGTCAATGTTTTCATTGAAAAAAAAGTCAATAATGATGTAGATAATTGAAAGGGAAACTTCCAAAGAAAGAAAGAAAGCAATTAATTTCAAAATATCAATTATGTAGATCATGCAAAGAAGTAATTTTCAGACGCAAACTGGAAGAAACAGCCCTCCAGAAACAGCCCTCCAGAAACAGCCACTTTCACATAAATATTGAATTACACGAAAGAAACATTCTTTCGAAACAAATACTTTTACATGAACACTGAATTATACAAAAAACACCATTCTCTGCTCAGTTTAAATTCCAAATATTCGTTATGGAATTGAATCAGATATCATTCATAGGATTCGTACACAATATACTAAATGAGAGGTGAAAATTTCACCTGCATGAAACACTGTCATCCTTATTGGTGGACATGAATCAAAGATTGTTCCTTACAAATGACCACTAAACCATTCAATGCGCGTTTTTCAGGGATCAATATTATCTTCAACCCTTTTTCTATTATATATCAATGACCTACGAAAATGTTGAATTTGATATTTCACTTTTGGTACCCAAATATCAAGCGGCACAAGGTTGCCTGTTGATCTTTGTTTCCGAGAGACATATTGATGATCGCTTAAGATGTTGAAGCCTTCCAAACATTCAAGGATACGGTAGTTTACGGCTTTCTCCATGATTTTTGATATCACTGATAAGAAAGCGACTGGTCTATAGTTATTTGGAAGATTTTTCTTAACGTTTTTGGGAATAGGTTGAACGCGAGCAATCTTCCAACAAGAAAGAAAAACCCCTTCCTTATAAGACATGTTGAAAAGTCTGCAAAATACTGGTACTCGAGTTCATTGGCGCATTTTTTAAGTACGATGACGGGCACTTCATCAGGATCAGACGCCTTTTGAAAGCTGTTTCAAAATTCGCCTGACGAATGACACTGGTCAGTTATAACAAAAAATAAAACGTAGAAACACTTACACAGAACCGTATCCATGGACAGCGGTAGATTGGCAGCTTGATTCTGTGGAGTGTCAGCATAACTTGGCGACTGAGCTACAGCTGCATATGCTGAATTCCATTTATTAACTGCAAACTGTTGGTGCATGGTAACTGTCACTACGGAAGGATTCGGCAGTTGGGGGTAAGTATTAGCCGATATATGGACGATGGGGCTGTTCGACAAAAACTTCATTGTCATGCACACATCATCTGGAATGCTGGAGAACATCATCGGAGACTGAAAAGAAAAACCCGTTAATATAAACGAATGGTTTTTGGATTAAAATCCACTCACCAAATGCATTGCAGAGCTCCTAGGCGGATGCGGCTCCATGAGCAACTGCGAAGGAGTTTGGCCGAAATTCTTGATTTGATTCTCTATTGCTTCCTTCATGACCTTGTCCTGCACTGATTCTAGGTCGACGTTTCCCTCATAAGTCAAGTAATAAAAACAATTCGTGGCTCTGATTGCTTCCGGCCCTCTTTGCTTGTAACCGAATATCAAGTCTATCCACTGGTGCAGTTGACAAGATACGAATTCGGACTCCAAAGCCATTCTGTTTATCCGAACGAATTCTTCGGGTGAACTAGCCCACGGTGGTAATTCCACGTCACCAATTGGTTTTCCGTCTTCGTTCAAACCTAGCCGATACCTGTTGGAGTTCATGAACATTTCTGGTAGGAAGTAGAACTCCGGGATGAGTTCTTTAACGTCGGATGTATCTCGCTGGCAGTTTTTCCATGATAACGAGAGAGATGAAAAGAGTCTGTTTGGGTAGTCGAATTTTCCTCCTTGGAGAGACAAAAACATCGTGGTAAAAGGCTCCTGTAAAATTATAAAAGTTGGTTTTCAGCTGAACAGATGAGCATACTTAATCAATCAATCAATCACTGTACTTTATTGTCTAAGAAAAAAATCTTATTGACAAAGCATATGAAAACAATATTATTACACAAAATAACATGGTATGTATACAGACTTTCAACGTCAAGTAATAGTTTTAATGGTACTTTTCAAGGAAACCAAATCCTTTCCACGCCACAATAAAGTGGTGTCATCTGCAAATAGTGTAATTTTACCATCAATATTGATGTTAGGAAGATCATTCACATATAGGAGAAATAAGATAGGACCTAGAACAGATCCTTGAGGAACTCCACGGCATATTTTGGAGAGACTGGATGTTTTTCATAACTCATAAAATATAAATCGATGTTTTCGAGATTCTAGTTCATACCTAAGAGCTCCAATCTTACTTGTGACACCATGGAAATAGCCGTTGTTTTCACTATAAAATATTACAGTGGGCAAGTTGTCTAGTCGACTTCAGTAAATATTTGATAAAATTTATTACAACCTATTCATATCCAAACTTAGTGAGGTCGATTTGGAGAGTAATAGTTTGGGATACTTCATACTTCTATTTAAACGTTGTCAAATTGTGAACATGAATGGATACAGATCTGTACTACAATTTGCAAGCAGTTCGGGTGTTCCGTAGGAAACGTATCTGGGTCCGTGGCCTTTTGTTTGGTATTCAAGTATTCAGAAATGACTTGAAAAGTTGTATTGATATACTTATATCAATGATCCGAAAATTTTCCTTCTTTACTGGACACCAAATGTCTTTCTTGTACAGTTTATGAGTAGATAGCTTTTTGTCGTATCTCAAATTTGAAATGAATGAACGAAGACCAAAAGTACCCAATACAAAATTGGCTTAATTTTTTAAATAAGTTTGATCCCCAAATATTGAAACCACTGAATATAGAAGAATAAGTATATAAATTCAACTTAGGGAACATAAATCCACATACCAGCCTGATCAGCCAATTGAATACAAAAGCTGAAGTTGAATAGTGCGTCCCAAAATGGAATGGCGGAATACTCTCGTGTTCCCACGTGGAATACCTTTCCTCGAAATATGCCCTCCTGCTTGGGTTGAGGGCTCCTATTGGCTTCGATAGGTCTCTGTAATTACTTGGCTGACTCAAATCTAAGTCTTTGGAATCATAGTTCGTGAGTACCCACGGAAAAACGGGGTATTGGTTGAGGTCGTTATAAGTCCGTCCTGTAAAAAAACATATTTATGATCACAGTTCTTTAAAATGAGGTTAACATCATACACAGTTACATTTTTATTTTAGTTTTGGAAATAATTCAATGTATTGATTCAAAATCAAATGTACCACTTTCAATAAGTCAAAACGACGGGAAGAAACACACCAGCTTCTTGACGAAGCCGATTAATTTGTATAGTGAGTGGTCTTTCAGGCACCCTCCTTTGCAAAAGAGAGTGATAGTTGAATAAGTTATCTGCAACAAAACAGTTGTCTGGATGTTTTCAACTGATTTCTATGTATTCAGGTGTTCTGAAAATACCCACAAAATTTCAAAACGTCAGGTTATTTTGAAATACGCTAATTTGTATTATGAACATTTTTTGGGCCAACTTGAAGTCACAAAAAAAGGGACAATTTTATTTTTATTACTGTTTTCAGAAGTATACAGACCGTAACTATCATTACTCTCTAAATAAAGAACGCCCTGTGCCCAAAAGGACGAGCTGGTTATATTGATTTATGGATATATTTGTCTCATATGACCTAGCACTGAGGCGTATTTTCATAGATGCTTTAAAAAAAACCTCAAAGCAGTTCTGCTTCACAATGGCGGTTTCTATGCCTCCATTCCTTTCGGTCATTCCGTACACCTTGAGGAAACCTACAAGAACCCGAAATTGAATTTTCGCAAATTATAATATAAATACCATGGTTGGCAAATGTGCGGATATTCAAAAATCTTGGGGATGTTGCTCGGACAACAATCTGAGTTTACCAAATTCCCTTGCTTTTTGTGTATGTGGAGTATTAGAGACCTAACAAATCTCTGAGCCAAAGAGTGTTGTCCTTCGAAGGAGCTTAACGTTAGCGACAAGAACATCCTACATAAAACTTTGGTGCCTCCTCATAAGGTTCTTCCATCACCGCTTCACATAAAGCTGGGATGAAGCAATTGGAAAATACACTTCTAAGAGATGGAAATTGCTTCGAATACCTCACATCAAAGTTTCCAGGCCTCTCAAAGGCAAAGTTGAAAGACGGTGTTTTCGTTGGAACAGATACCAGACGGTCAGTAGAAATCCTCAACATAAAACCTAGCATTTTGAGACTTTTTGCCACAATTTCCGATACTTGAAGATTAAAATCAATTTCGCTATCAAATTTAACTCCCAGATCGCGAATAAATGTTTCTCTTTTAAGAGCTATATTATTCAATCCTAAGTAAGTTATTCTCACTAGGATTCAGAGGAAATGTACTTTCATGGCCGGAGTCATATTTGACTCTCAGAAAGATGTGCGTGAAATATGATGAATGCCAATCACAATCATACACTAATGAATATGGAGTACCTCAGGGATCCATTTTGGGACCTCTGATGTTCCTACTTTTCATCAATGATATGCCAAAACATGTGAATACAAACCGATTAATTTTATATGCAGACAACACTTGCTGCAGATGCTGAAAGCCCCGAGGAACTCCAAGTTAAACTCAATGAGCTGTCTATCGCATTTACAGATTGGTGCCGCAAAAACTCCTTGTTTTAGTGCAGTTTTACTCTAGAACTACCAGGAAAATTACCGATTTTCGAGTCAGAGTAAGTAGCCGTTATGTGATTTCGTCAGACAATACTAAATACCTTGGTACCTATGTTGATAGTCAGCTGTGAGTCAGGTCAGAAAGAAAGTGAACTGTGGTTATTATGTTATACGGCAACTTTCATCCACACTCAGTACTGATCAGCTTTTGAGTGTTTATTATGCCGCAATTTATTCTCACATCTCATACAATATCGCTGTATGGGGTTGCTCCACATCTATTAATAACATTTTTGTTGGTCAAAAGAGAGTATTGCTTTTGATTTACAAATTAGATGCTAGGGAATCTTGTATATCATTAGGTTGGAAAAACATTCAACTAATTTATATGGAACAGTATATCCTACGTAGGAGCAAAGCTTTTTAATAATCTTCCCGATTACATAAAAAGGGATAATAAAGAAATGAATTTCAAAGAAACCCTGAAAAAATTCCTAATCAACGGTTCTTTTCACAATGTCGCTGAATATCTAAGTCGATGAGACTGTATTGTATAAATATTTAATATACTTTTTTTTCCTTGTGTTTTGTATGTTTTGTAAAGATTTTATGTATGTATAATGTCGACGTATCCTATATCAACTTGTGATCATGAAGGATTTGATAAATTATTATTATTATTGTTCAAAGAATATTGACATATAAGACAGTGATAAATATAAATACATCCTATGTTCTGGATACCGTCATTAGAATTTTATGGTTGAGATTTATCTCAAATTATACATTTTTTGAGTGAGCTGGCGGAGTCGCTTTGTAAAATATAGGCATAGTGAAAATCAACCAGTAAGTCCACTCCACTACTTTCATTCATAAATTCAGAAAGTTCTCTCAAAACGAAGTGTGGAGCCAATTTCGTTCTTTTACCATAGGCGTGCCGTCATATAAAAACCAAATTTGAGGTTATTATAGAATATTTTGTGGTAAATTACTTATAACCAACTACAAAAATTAAAAACAATAATAACAACACCGAATAAACTAAACACAATATCAATTTCCGACCGTTTATTATAAGTAATCCGATGTCCGTGGTACCGTCGAATCCTTTGATACTACAGCACTGAACGCGTTGGATGAGAATCTCATCCTAAGAGCGGTTGAAGGTCCCCGGCTTACTGGTTGTATTATTCTACTGTGATATATGTATGTTCTTCCCATCTCATATGCTGATCCAGAACTAGACCAAGATATTTCAACTTTGATTCTTTTTTATCGAAGGACAATGACATTGTTTCCTTTCACTTGATTATCATTTTGAATAGTTTGAAATTTTTGGACCGATTGTTTTGTTGAAACCGATATTTAAAATTTCAATTTCAAAGTATTTTCCCGGGAGTGATATTTCATAAGAATAAATAAATCGAAACCGTTTAATTGCGAGTAATAAATAATAAAACCGATGATTTTTACTGTTTTGACAAGCAGACAAACATTTTTCGATTAATGCACTTTCCAACATCAGATCAGCGGGAAGCTTATTAACGAACACAATCCCCCACCACGCTTCACCTCGAATTGACCCTCAGCTACGAAGGTGGGTGGAAGAATCCAATTAAAACCTAATTAATTATGCCATTACTCTGAATAATGTCATTGCTATTTCGAGGAAGAGAGAGCGCCTCGGCGCAAGGGGTTCGGCGTAACGGCGGATGGAGGACGTCAACATGAATTAGGCGTCGTTTCGGTCTTGTTAAGCCGTGGCAGACGGAGGATTACTTTTCCCCTTGTCTTTTTTTTGTCGTTACGCCACAGTGATCCTACGAGCATGAGGGATGCACAGAGTTCAGGAGAAATATTCTCCAGGAGTAACTGTATCATATTTCCAATCTCCTTCATGATAACTGAAAGAAATGGCAGCCGAATCAATTTAAAAAATAAATACCTATATATTATACGAGGTTTACTCAAAACATGAGGTGAATATTCAAATTTCGCGGAATACGTACATTCGGTTAGCGTTTTTTTATGTTGGTACACTCGTATCGAACATATTTTCACAGTTTCAGCTGTTTAGCATGAATAGTTTGTTGATTAGAGTCATAAAAGTTAAAAGTTTTTTGCGTGTCCAGCGATTTGCTGCTATCGAAAGAAATTGATCAAAAAATTTGAATTCATCTAAAAGAACAATTCGTTTAGGCCAGTCTCAACTCCCTACACTATATTTTAATGGACTGACACCTATCAGAAAACAACTACTCCCCTGGATAATACCACGAAGGGCGTTGGATTATATTCGAAAGGTGTCAGTGTAGGATTATTTACTGAAGTTATTCCTGCATATGCTGTTAGCCTCACAAGCACCGCAATAGATTATCAATTATTGGAACACTCTGGCATAAATTTCACCTGAAATTTTCTTATTAAATGAGTTTTTAGGTTCGGTATGGGTTTGATGTTTCTGTATTATAAAGCCTATATAAGCGGTAAATTGAGTCTGAATTATAGAGCTTTTATGATGAACAAGTTACTACACAATGTGAGTGTATATCTAAGGAAATATACGGTTTTTATCTATTTATTTCAATAACAAAACGAATCTAAACTGGGAAAATCCAGTTCCTACTGGAACAAGGCATGTATGTGTCAGCCTGTCTAGACTTAAAGAAAGACATATGTTTCATTTTTATGTAACCGATTTAGAGAAAGGGAATTTGTCCCTTTTTTTACACAACAGGGTAACCTAGTTTTCTGTAACAATGCACCCGGCGTCATGGAAATGTTGAACATAACGTATGAACCAGAGAAATGGAGACTTTTCATCGATTCACCAAAAAAAAGTTTGAAAGCTGTACTTCTTCACAATGGGAACCAATATGCTTCTGTGCCTCTTGGACACTCAGTTCATTTGAAAGAATGCTACGAAAATCTTGAATTTGTTCTTAATAAGCTCAGCTTCTCTGATCATAAGTAGGCCATTTGTGGAGACTTGAAAGTTATTTTAATGTTACTATAGCCGTGACAGGAAACAACACTATGTCTCAAGCAGGTGTGGACAATAAGAAAGGGTCTTATTCCTGGAGTTAAAAATGTTGAAAAAAAAGTTTTGTGGATCCTAAAAAACTAATTTCCACCACTCCATATCAAATTGGGGCTAATGAAAAAGTTTGTAAAAGCATTAGACAAAGAAGGAGATTTCAAATATCTTTCTGAACAAATTCCTGGTCTATCCGATGCTAAACTAAAAGAAGGAGTCTTCGTTGGGCCTGACATAAGAAAACTTTTGAGCTTTGTCACTAAAATGAAAATGAAAGAAAACAATGCCAGGAATTCATTTTAACTTGTTGAAACAGGCTTTCTTGAAAACAAAACTACAAAACTTTGGTTGCTGAATTGATACAAAACTACAAAATGTTGGGCTGCAACATGAGTGTCAAAGTCCATTTCCTTCACTCACATCTGGACTACTTTCCCCAAAATCCAGGGGTTGTAAGTGAGGAACAAGGAGAACGGTTCCATCAAGACATAAACGAAATGGAACGCAGATACTTAGGTCGGTTGAATGTTAACAAGATGGCAGACAACTATTGGATGTTAAAAAGGGAAAATTCACTAGAACACAGCTGAAAAAGTACCAAAAGAAGCTTTGACGAAAAAAGAAATCGTTTTTACAAAAACTTATAATCACTTTGCAAACACTTGTGTATCACTATTATGCTTAGTTTAGCTATGTAGCATTGTTTTTTTTGCTTTTACTTCATGTTAAAATGATAAAAATAAATCCACAATTCCTCGTTTTTTTATACTTCTTCAATTATTTCATCCTTATTTTGCAGGCAAACCTCACGTGATAGATAAAAACAAATGCCATTTTTGAAATCAGCGCAAAAAACTACATAAAGATCAGTTAACGAAATCAAAACAATTTTTTAAAAAGTTTTTCTACAGACCTGTGTATTGTTAAACCCAAGGGAAAACGTAACATTACTTTTTGTTTTGCATTATTCATTATAATTTTCTATCGTTTGCATATCAATAAGCGTAAAAATGTTGCTAGACCACTGTACTGGACCATTACTGAATGTTTCAAAGCTTTCGCCAAGAAATAAATCATGAAATGTTGAACTTCGCAGACTTCAAAATCCGAAATATTCGAATCGCAACCCACAAAGAAACACCGCAAAACACCGGAATACCTCACATGACATCTGAATTCATAAATCGAGCACCGCTCCGATAGATTAAAGGTGTACGAAAATATACCGGTCGCAAGCAATTAACTGAAATCGAAACTCCGAAGACTTTTTCTTTTCCTAGTAAAGAGGAAATAATTCTTAGCGTTGACGGTGCGTAAATAACGACGCTGCGTTTTTGTGGGTAGCGACGAGGAACGTCTCACGGAAAATTTGCAGTTGTCAAGAAAGGCTGGCTCTAAATTAAAAACACATACATCACTTCGGGATGTATTTCTAGACGGCAGCGAGCAGATTGTGATAATTTTATTTTTTTAATTTATTGATCTTTTAGATACAAATGAGATAAGTCTCATATACACACATACATTATTACCCAAGAATGAATATTATACTGTTTCGCCGTTTATTTGTGTTTCTCTTGATAGGACAGCTATATAATAATGTTTATTCAAGGAAATAGTTCATAAAGAAAACAGTGTAACATGAATAATAATGAGTAAAACATTGAAAACATCACGGAAGTATCCAAGATACTTGTATGTGATGATGTTAGAACAAACAAACAAAATATATACATACATATATAGTACACATAACCGTAAACACTAACTGTTTCACACATCTAATGTATCTACTACTTTTATCAGCAGAGCCACTTAACGACTGAATAGATTTGTTTCCTCCGGTAACCGGTCGCACCCCTACGAGCAACCCTCAGAAGTCTTCGACAGACTTGTACGAGCAAGGGGAAACGGGGGTCCTATCCTGTAACGTGCTATCCTGATTAAGGATTTCTTCAACCAAAAACTTTAGCTATAATTGTAAAAATATTAAAATAAAGAATATAAAGAATATAAAAGAGTATTTTAGATTTATAAGATTGTTAAAAATGGTGTATTTGGTTTGTCCGTTATTGATAGAGGAATATAACGGGAATTTGAGGGTGACAGATCCTCAGATATTGTCACACCTACGTTAACAAAATATATATTGAAGTCATTCGCAGTGAACTTACTTTCACGATGTTTGAAACTATCTCCATTCTTTTCAAAATGGATAAGTCTCCAACTGTCTCTAACTTTATTTACCGAATTTAAGATAAAGTCATCATATGAACATCTTTTCGCTGATAGTATCATATTTTGGTATTGAACGTTCAATGCAGGATGGGCCTGTTTGTGTGTCTCATCCTTTGTATAATCAAATATCGTTTTTATAGCTTGAACTTTATTTTTCATGTTTTTTATTTGGTCATTCATAGGAGTAAAGTGTCAAATTCTGAAGAAAGTATGCGATGAAACTAAGTTTAGTGAATGAGTCTGGGTGATACTGTTTCGAGAATTTAAAGAAAAAAAACTTTTATAAATTTCCTCACGAAAATTTTGAAAATTATAAACGTTTCAAAATATTAGTAAGCAAAAATATGTCCAACGATAGTGAATGAAGTGCATACGATGCAAGAAGTTCAAATTCAAAATCGGAAATTTGATTTTATTTCATTCCAAAATGTTCATTCAATATAAACTTGCAATTTACATATTTTTCATGTCGGTTCCACGGTTTCCTTGAAGGGGAATATGAACTGGAATGATTAATTCTTCAAGGTCACATTAGAATTCGTCGAATGCCCATTTCAACTAGTATTAAAGACTGTTAATTTCACTTACCGGCAATGGTGTTCAAGAACATCAAATACTCGAAATTCGATATCTCTCTGCGTTGCCATTTCTGTGTCATGTTGGAATTCCTCATAAGCTGCCTAGGAGACATCATGCTGGCTCTTCTTGTCTGTGGTATGCCGTATTTAATGCCAACGCCAACCCTGGGTAACGCCTTGATGACTTTCTTCACGGTGGTTTGATCCGAAAATGCAAACATGATGGATGCTGTAAAGCAATTGAACAATTAAATTTTTTCCCGAAAACTTTCGAGAATTTTTCAAAATTTAAAACTAGATAGCGGTCTTATCGCTCTCCCCTTTCAACATAAATGACATATTTCACTGTTTTCATAGGTAAAGACAGTGTGTCAGTTCTGGTGGATGTGTTGTCATTACACCATGTGGAAAGAAAAGAGGCACTAATATCATTGCCCACTTTTTTAATGCATCGTTTTAAAAAGATCATTAACTATACTCTGTCTACGGGATCTCCCAGACAAGGCTGTATGTACAGAGTCGCACTAAAAACGACCGATTTCTTTTCAACATGCGGCCGGGTGTAGGAAATTCTTCAAAATTTTAAAAATTTTAAACTTTAAAATACCGTATATGTACATACCACAAGCATTAAAACGTAACTGACCACTACGACACTGTAGCGATATACCTAAAAGAATGAATTTCGCCAGCCAATTGCAGTTGAATCTGATTGGCCAGCGTAAGGGGGATTGATCATTCTACCCAATAGATGCAAATGTAAGTGGTGAACATGCTTTGATTAGGCATCTATCATTGTTTGGGTTACTTTGTTTGTTGGAATGAAATGAATTCAGTGCATCCCATATTAATCACAAAAACTTAGAACCTTTGTTTCTGTTATTAACAATCAGAATCTGTATCTTCAAATCATAGGCTACATGTCTGATCCAAAGTTGGGAAATTCATATGAGAAAGAAATAAACCAAAAGATATTTGTGATCTGAAATCACAACGAAATTAGCGTCAGTACCCCAGGTGCAGGCAGGCTGCACTCATAAGTTACATCCAGAGTAGCCTGGAAATGACGTGATGAACTGAAGAAACTGGTGGTCAGAGTATAGATCGATTATATATACACTCAGAGATTGCAGGCAAAAAAAACTGATTGGTGTACCAGACATGGATCATCGGCTCCATATCTAGGCCCCTAAATAGCTGCGGGAGTACCATAGACTTTGGTATGCAACCAGATTAGAATAAGGTCTATGACAAACAGATAGAATACTGGGAAACATACCCAAGAACACACATGGAGAGAAGAGCTCCATATCTAGGCACTTGACCAGTTGTGGGAGTACCTAAGTCTTCGGTATGGAACCAGATTGGAAGAAGGTCTATAAGAAACAGATAGAATACTGGGAAAACATACCCACGAATACACATGGAGGGAAGAGAGCTGAACAACAGCTTCAATAAAGCGGGGCTACTCACTGGACTATACTCCAATGGATTACATTGGATTTACAACGAAAATCTTAACTGCAAGCAATGCAACAAAGGGATAGAGACAATTCGTCATATGAGAATATGAGTCAGTGGATTACAGAAGGCTTACACTTTATGGATGACCCAAATAATATCCAGAATAGTATAGCATACATACATCATACATACAAACTAGTACAGGACACAAGATCGTTGGAAAAGATGTCATTGAAAAGATGGCGAAAAACACAATACGCCCTTAAGGTTGCAGCGATTTCCAAAGACTTGGAAGGTATGGAAGAAGTGGTTCGTGCAAGATAAACTTATTTGTGCCTCGTTTTCTCCCGGTTAAATAACAGTGACGCGCATGCTCATAACTTACTTTTCCTCTCGGTAACCTATTACTTATTGATTTTCAAACTGTTTATGACAACTTGAAATACGTGACGACAATTAAATTTTTAATATGTAACTGAAAAACGCTAAATCGTAAACGCACCACGGGTGAAAAGTACGGCATCCACGCCCACGGACGAGAATGCCATACTTTGCTTGTCCTTTGTTTTCATTTTTTTATGATGTGGCACACTTTTTACTTTCCTATCACCAACCCCAATTATAGATCAGTTATTCCCACCAGGCATCTACTGGTGTCACTTCTCACTCAGTAAACAGCACAGAGCGTGTGCAATTTCCAATTAGATTGGCATTTGCAACGACTATTCATAAGTCCCAAGACCGATTGCGCAAGGATGGTGTAAACCTCGTAGTAGGAACGGATCAACTGAGGCTGAGCCTATGGCGAGAAGAGCTTGCTGCGCAACCTTTGCTACAGGCAGCCAGTGATGCAATTGAACTCAGGTTTGTATTTAATACACCCAACAAAATACAAATAAAACAGAACACAGAGTCTCAGAAGGCTCAGAATGTGGAGTGTAATCCAGATCACTAAGCCTAAGGAGTAAGTGGGGAATGGGAAAAAATACCAGCGTGGTTCAAACAGAACTGGCTGATATCTCAATCGCCGCAAAAGAAACAACCAGGAAACGAATTTCTGGCAAAAATATAACAATCTGCACTGATAGTAGACAAGCTCTATTAGCTTTGAATAGACGACGTGTTACCCCAGGGCTAGTACTAGAGTACAATCAAGATTTAGCCAAAGCCTCGTTAGATAATAACATTATCCTAGGTTAAAGAATACGACAGGAGTGAAGGTAATCATATCGCCGACCCTTTAGCCAAGGAAGCGGCTGGACTAAGAATTTTAGGACTCAATGACACCTACGGCCTGATGACTTCGACAATTGCGGAACTAGCCCCGTTACACCCATGCTCAATTACTAAAGAGAAGAGATGGAATCAAAGAATGCAGTCTTACCAGGATCACCCTGGGAAGCTGGCGCCGAAGAAATATCTGGCGACCAGGAAAAACCTACGCGTAACAGTAGGATTTCTGACTGGCCGCTGTCAAATAATGAAACACCGCCATAATATGGGGCTAGTGGATACACCTCTATGCAGGATGTGTTAACAGGAAGATGAAACTGTCAGGCATGCCCTATGCAAGTGTCCGGAGTTATCGTCAATAAGAGGTGTGTGTTCGGCGAGTCTTGGCCTACACCTGCCGATATAAAGGAGATGTCTCCCACTGACCTGTCCACCTTCCTGGAAAGGACGAAATAATGTCCGTTTGTGGCTTGAATTTGAATAAACCATATTTTCCACATGGACTGACGAGATAAGTAATTAATATTATTTGTTAGTGTTATTGTTCTGACACACATTTCCAAAGAGTTAGTTATTATTTTCTATCCTAGAATTTCCCTAGAAATAATTTATGTGGCAAAATAGAATGAAAACGTGTAGAATCGATGTATATGTATAGAAAAATTACATTCTTTCAAAGTACTACCTCACCATTAGGCTATAGGAAAATTTCAAAGAAAGGAAGATTAAAATAACTACAATACAAACTAGGTATAAATATATGTTGTACGCACACAGATGTGTCTTTTAGATATGAACTGTCATATAGAAATTGATTTACACGAAAATTCCATAACGTTTCTACTACAAAAATTTGTTGTAGACTTAAAACAGATTTCATAAGAAGGCTATAAACAATGTCATATATTAAAGAGTATTGATATTCTTCATATCTTCATAACGAGTTTTTCCATAGTTATTTTCATTCATCGTTTATTTTTTTTAAATTTCTCACATTCGTATTTACTGATGGAGAAGTAGAAAGCTTTTTTTCATGCTTTCCTATAGTGTTTATCACCTCAATCAACTCACATTATTTAGGATTGTCTAATGAGTTCTTCTTTGTTTAGGTATAATTTAAATAGATTTTGAAGTCCAAATTGTCATTCAATATACTCACTTCTACTAGCCAAGAAGATTTCGATGGCATTGTTTTGTAACAGGTATCGCCTGGAGAAGATTGCTCTGACTTCAGAAAAGTACCACTTTCCATGGAGATGATCACAGTACTTCAATATCTGAAACAAAAAAAAAACGTTTTATCAAAAGGGTCTATCCCAGTGTATCGACATCATGATAAATTGAGTAGAAACAAAGGGAACAAATGATTTATTAATTTCAGGCGAAAGCATATTAATGCTCTATCGATTAAGCAACGGTTTTGACTTTTGGATATTATTCAATTTTTTATCGTACAGATGTGCACTGAAAAGAAGTTGTGTGCATAGATCTGCTGTCCAACCAATTGTTGAAGATAGTAATCAGGAAACATAAAACACAGTTGATAATCAGAAAGTTATCAATAGTAGGTAAAGCGAGATTCGAATGAATTGTTTGAATTTGTCGATAAGTGATGAATTTTCTGATTGATTCGGCCGTTACTTGATGAAGATCCATAGTAATTTCCAAAAACTACACCTCACGATTTGATTTCCACAAACTTTATGGGTAGGTGAGGTATAGTTTTTGAAAAAAAGATAAGTAATGAAGATGATCACAAATCAGACAGAAACACCAGCTACAATAAAAGCTAAGAAATTAGAGAATAATCATCAAATTTCAAGCCTAGGTGAAGGAAACATATTTGACTGATTATGATGATAAATATTTAACGAAATCAAAAATGGTGTTGACAAAATAATTACATACCTATATGAGTTCTGAGAGTCAATATTTCAAAGAACTGGAAAACTGTGAATTTATCGAATCCTGATGTCAATGAAAAATTAGTTTGTCATCAGTAACGAATTGAACTCAAAACAGATTGAAAAATATTCTCATCATCGTTTGTTTGGGCCTCTCATACTCAATCAAAATTATTATGATGAGCTAATTTGAAGAAAGAGCCAATGTTTTCAATACTTTTCTTTCGCTCCAAAGGGTTCACTAATTCCTTCTTAAATCGGTATTACCAATTCACTTTTCAGTAGTTCATTTGAGAACCCAATCTTTCATTTCCGAACTAACATAAAAGTACATCAATTCATCATATGTATTATTATCTACGTAGTGTAAATAGTATTACCCCTATATTTTTCATCGTTTTTATAGAAACAATATACAGGAATTGAAGGGTTACTAGTAATATGTTTCTGTAGTTGAATATTAATTTCAAAAAATTTAATTTTTGTGTCAAATTAATTTCTACATATTTTCTTCACAATACTATATGTATAATATTGAATATTAGATGTATGCATCTATCACTTTTTGTGTGTTGTATTTTTCTATGAAATTTTGCTCTGGACAAATTCTAATACACTTACAAGATTCTCGATTTTCCATTCAGTTTTAACTGTTTATTTCTGTTTCAAATATCTGTAATCTTTTATTTTTTTATAGAATAATTATTATTCAGTTCAAGAAACTTGAAATTTGAAAAAGACCTGGTGTGAAAAGAAAAAGATTATTCAGAAAATTGAGAAGAAGAGGTTTCTCCCTAGGGAGGCACAATGATTATGCTAGAAAATAATTCGCCAGAATTACAGAACATTGAGTATAGTGGGAAGATGATACAAAGGAATTTGTACTCGGGATTACGCACAAAAAGAAATTCCAAATGATATAATTCTAAGGAATTTGAACGATGTTTAACAAGCGAAGCGATACAAGTTTCTCTTCATAATGAAAATCGAGGTATTTGAAAGATATTCAATATTTTTTAGATTTCTGAGAAGTTCTCAATGAGTATTTTTCATGTCTATTCAAACCAAAGGCGTTTTTCGAAAGAATCTCATTGTTCTCCTGCCGATCGGTTAATCTTCACTAGAGACTTTGCGTTACACCACCTCGGTCATACGCGATTTATTACCCAATATGGCGCAGACTCGGATATACAAATGTTGATTCGCGGCAGCAAAGAGATCGATATTATCTTGGATCAGATAAGTTCGCGACTCCTCCTACGGCACGTTGTGTCGGCCATTTTACTGTACCAAGCAATGTTTATCACTTCTACGGTTCATTGTTGTAAAATAAATATTTTCTTTTCCGAAACAGTTTCGTCTTTATGATGTATTCGAAAATATTTTTCATTGGACTTGAATAGCTCATAATGAGGTGAAACAAAGGATTGTTAATGTACTTCGGCTATAAGTGTCATAGTCAATAAGACATGATACTTACAAACAATTCATAGGGATCCTAAACAATAAAATAGATAATTCATAGTTCTGTGGAATACATACCCAATAAGACTTTGTAGATGATATTTTTAATATTTTTATTTTCACCAGCCACCTGAGCACGTGTTCATTATAATTGTATTTTCATATATTCGACTCAAAATACAGAAATGGCAAATCAGTCAATTTCATTTTAAGCATGTTGGTGAAATTATTTATATTGTTCCAACTTCTACTATCAAAATAATATTTCTTGTGCAACTGCATCTCTGTTAATACGTAAATGTTTACTTTCCTTCACTGACAAAATAATTCACAAAATAAACATGAAATATTACGTTTCGAAGGATTTAATTTCAACAGAGTCAATTTTCAATTAATAGTAAAGTTTTAACAATTGCTTCCAACATAAATTCCCGAAGATGTTCAGCTGATCAGAAACGTTAGATATTTTTTGAAGAGTTGATTCCACAATTTTGTTTGATATTTTAATGTGTTTGGAAGAAGATGAATAATTCAATATTTTGTTATAAATCTCAATTTTATTATTAATATTTTCTTCTATATATGCTTCAGCTACGAAGGCAGATTTTCAGTCATCGTGACATTTTATGGATGTAATGCTGCCCCCTGCATTGACCAGAAGAGCTACAGAGCTTCTCCTGAAATAGTGACCTGTGTAGCTCTTATAAACGTGTTTTTCAAGCCATTTTGAATGCGATTCTGCTGAAAACATTGAATATTTTCAAGACAACAGTCGTTCAGAAGCGATAACTTATCGGGACAAAAAACCACGTCAAGATGTATTGGAAGTATTTATTTTTAATATATTTCAGTTGTACAAAAAATGTTGTTTGTATTTCGTGTTAAAATTCGTGTTTTCATCGCACATTTTCATGTGACATTAAAAAATACTCATTTTACGCACTTAATACTAAAATAACTATTACAGCTGGCCATATTCATTTAAGTACTATAAGTTACAGTTGCTTAGTTATTAGAATTGAAAATGCATAGAAATCCTGGTGTTTTAACCGATTCGCTATTGTTTTCTCAAAAATTCTCGCCGCCAGTGATCCAACTTTGTACACAGATTGTCCACAGACGTTAGAGAAAGATAAGATCAAGAAAACGTTGTTATAACGGATATAACGACGCAAAAGAAAAAGGATGGAACTCACGAAATGAGCTGTGGAAATTGCAGTAGAGAATACGTTGGTCAAACTTAGCAGACTGTGATAACTAGCTTAAAGAATCATATCTCACATATTCGGTTCCATATACCGACATGTCTTTGATGACGGCCACAGAATAAGTGAGAAATGGTTGAAATTTTTTGACAGGTACATATCAAATGGTTTTCATATGCTTTGGAAAGTTTAGAATTCGAAAAATGTGGAAAGAAATATTTGAACAGAGTCAGAGGTTCATAACTTTGTTTACTTTTTTACGCAACAATTACAGATAGAAACCTAGTGAATATTAGTTATCATAATCAAGTAGTCATTAAACAGGGGGGAACGGCTATGGGTAACTATTTGTCCTCCTACCTGGCAAATCTGTTGATAGGCAGATTCAAAATGGAAACCAAAGAAAAGTCGAATATTGAGGACTTTTTCCTTTTCAAATAATAGATTTTCAATATTAAAATCCACGTATGAGTTAGAATATAAACGACAACTTCCATTTCTTGACGTTTTGGTAATGAGGAGTCAATATGGAGGGCTAGAATATGATGTATTTAGAAAATAAACAAGCACGTACAGGTATATTCCTGACAGTTCACATCACTGTGGGCAGCACTTTTAAAAAGGACAAAAACTAAAATAAATATATCTCAGTTCCATACCACCAATACAAGAAGAACTTTGGAAAGATTTTCAAGGAACTAGGTATGAAGGTGTGTTTTAAAACAAGTCATACACTACTCTGAGTCTTTTAGGAAGTCCAAAAGACAAAGTCGAGAATTCGGAAAAGTTTGGAATTTAAGAAATTGAATGTAAGGACCGCGATGCAAAATATTATGGACAGACAAAAAAATCTATCAAAATAAGATATTAGGAACATCAAACAAATTATTATACCATTCCATAGACTTCAGTTCATTAAGATTAGTTAGAGAAGTTGACAACAACAAGCATCTAGATGCCTGTGAGAGTGTAGAAACAAGTAAACATAATAATATTATGAATAACGATGGTGGACCAATATCTAATAGTATACCATATAGCATATAGTTGAAATAATATTTAATTTATTAAATTTACCTGACTATTACATAAAGACACATCATTAATTTAATACTATAGTAGGTAAGAAATTAATTTTATATAGCTTATGATATTTTAATTATTAGATTTACCTGACTATTACATAAGGACACATTGTAAACTCAATTTAAGACTAGAAGATAAGGCAATAATGTGAAATTAAATTAAGACAATTAAGACGCAGGTACACAGAACAGTTATAAATATGGTATAAATAAGGATAACTTCGTAAGTATGATTAGTTTGATCTGTCTCTTGAAGATGATTAGTTGGTGATCGAAACACGTGTCGAGGTGTTAAAATAACGGTTTGGTGTTGGGAAAAACTCCAGTAATGTTTGAAACCAAAGGTTCCAAACAGTGCATCACAAGGTAGTCATTAGTATATAATCGGGGTGATAATTCATCAGATTGCCTTCATCAGATGACCATCATCATTGAAGGGATTGTATATCTAAATATCTCTAATTCAGTTGTAGGATTTAGATTTATATAGTCAGTCAGAGACAGCACTTTTGATCTTGTGTGGGAAACGTGTTTTCAATAAATACATTCTCATTGTCTGTTTTTATTGTCAATTTTATGATACTCCTCAACTAAAGTGCTTTGAATACAGAAAATTGGCAACCTCAAGTATATTTATTGGCGAATGCGCCATTCACAATTTTTGAATTATAATATTTTACAAAACAGAAAACTGTACGTACAAAATTTCAAAATTCAACGAAAACAGTTTTCAATAACAGATGCATCACATCAACAAATATTACTTTTGTTTATCAGATTCTTTGTTAAAATATTTCGTCAAAATGAAAATGATGAATAAAGGTTCATTTATACAAATATAAAACATCTCTTCAAAAATTAGTTTCAAAAAGTTCAATGGTTATCAAATTGAAAAATGAGAGTTAGAACTTCCTATATTTTTATACCACTTGTATTTGTAACTAACGTTACTGCAGTTTCGTCCAATAAGAACATTTTCCGAAGAGGAAGTTGAAATTCTCATTTTTCATGATAATATCCTACCACGTAGTAACGATTACATACATCAATTTATAGGTTATCAAATCCTTCAAAGTTAAAAAAATACAATAAACTTCGAAAAAAGTGAAGCAAACAAAAGACGAGTATTGTATTTCTGGTTATTAGGAATAGTGCTGGCTTTAGGTTTATTCTACGCCAGAGGTTACAGTTTCACCTTTTATTTTTTCATCATTTCAGTACGGAAAAAATATAGTGGGTGTATAGCGAAAATAGCGTGAAAAATATATTCCAGCTATTTAAGAAAAAGAGGTTATCCTATATCATGAGAACCCCAAGTTGAGTAACCTAATACTGAATAGTTATTCCATAAGATGAAAAAACAATGTAGTCGGACTACTGTTTCGAAAGTTACGAAAATTAACGTAGCAAAAATTTTGGTTAAACCAGTTTTATTGAGTTAAAGTTATGTTTGACTCAATGTTGAAGAAATGTTGGGCGGTATAAGAATAATATACTGAGCAATTCATTGGAATAGAATTCCAATGAAGGCACAAGGAACTGATATCTGAATTTTGCAATGAAATGGTATTTGAAACATGGAACGAATAATAAAGCGCCTTCGCCAAAAATTAACATTATTTTATTATATTTCTTGCGAGGGACTGCCAAAGAATATTAATGAATTTATCATTTTATTGAAAGTCAGCTAGCAAAATACTCGTATATCTCCATAGGAATATTTGTTTTCGGACATATTTCAATTGCAGTAATTTTTTTGCCGTTATGATAATTGTCTATTATATTTTTGTCACATATATTTTCAAGTGGACATTGAAAATGAAGTTCAAAATAATCAAATAGTTATAATAAATCGACTTCATCCCACAAATAAAAGGTGGAGTATCAGCAGATATTGTTTTCAAACTCAACCACAAATTTATTTCTTTTACATTAAAGAAAATGTAATTTTTGGGTTACAACATCGACGAAATCTATTTATATATTCACGGAATTTTCAGGCTCATCTGTCACCTGAACAATCACGATTCCGTTATTTTGTCAACTTGAGAAACAAAACAGTAAACAATCAGAAAATTTGTCACATAATTTCCATCAGGTCGTGAGAAATAATATCCTAAAAACTGAAGTCCCTAAGAATATACCGTCTTTAGTAAATTTATCATTTTGAAGAATAACAAGTTATACTTAGACAAGGATGACATATCACTTGTCTACAAAATAACATACAGATCGTGGCCACAAGTGTAAATAGGACTAGCGATGAGCCCCCACTCCTAACTCCAAACTAATATCTTCGAAAATATTCATTTGAATTACATGCCTGTAATTTAATTGATCTATATTGAATGCACAATGTATTTAAGGTATTTATTTGAAAAAGGATTGATGCTGTATTGCTTAAAATCGCTTCGCAAATAAGCCATCATTTCTCGAGGATATGATTATTGTGATTTATCCTTAAGAGACAGACATACAACATCACATACTTTTTTGTAGACCTTTTCAAGGTATATAATACTATAGTACATTCTTTGATCTATCTCGTAGTGTTCAGCCAGCGTTTGCAATGTAAGTGCAAAAAAGCTTTTCATTTACGTCACATTAAAAACCCCCTAAATTATCAGTGTTTCTCTGTTATATACATATAAACCTTTCACTATCTAATAAAAAACCCGCTTCAAAATACGTTGCGTAGTTCCAAAGGGACAGACAGCAGGACAGACAGCGGTAAGCGATTTTTTATACTATGTATATTGAAGGACTTCAGGAAATTTTAAAACGGGATTTTCGGAGCATTAAAAAGTTTTGAACTGCCACCTTTTGGAGAACAATCCTAGCAATGAAAGATTGCCGTTCTGCTTCTTTTTTGATAGGAAGAATTACTATTGCTATTCAACTGTGGTAATGCTGCTTCGGTCCTTGGAATTATTCCTTCTTCACATTATTTTGATGAGATCATGCATTGCCCTCATTTCAGTACGGAATTAAAATCTCTTCGAAACAAGCCGAGATATATGTGTATATTCATCAGTCTCCTATCAAGGTTAATTCGCAAGTGATTGATCCACCTTCTTTTTTTTCAGTGCGGTCAATGGATTTAGGTCATTCTTGCCTCCCAAATATGAGCTGCAGTCCTCGTGGTTCTGGATACCTTTCAGTGGAAGAGCTTCATGAAGCAAGAGCCGAATCGATCCCTCTACGAAACCCTTCATCACTTGGAATGATCGATTGCAGCTTGAGAAATAGTTATGATACAGATTTTGTTAAACATGTTCTTCCTTACGAATCAGTACACAATTGTCCTGAAAATGTTGATAAGAAAACTGGATTAAATAATTTAGGAAACACTTGCTACAGTTCATGACAAAGAATTTCAAGAACGAAGATTTAACGAGAACGAGAATGTTTCTTACGTATTCACCAAAATGAAACAATTGTTAATGCAGTTGCAGTTTCGTAAGACTGTATCATCTTTTCCACCAACCGATTTCCTGGAGTCTTCGAAGTCCACTAGATACTCGTTAGGACAACAAGAGGATTGCTACGAATTGTTGGGGTGCTTGTTGAATACTCTACGTGAGCAAAAAATAGCAGAATCAATACTCCTGACCACTCTGTATTGAATGATTGCGTACAGTCTATCACGTCTTGTGTTTGTACATCTTTTGCTGGAAAAATCCTCACTTGTTTACTTTGTAATAAATGATCGAAAGGTAGCAAAAACGTATGTGATTTTCTATATTAGGAAACTAGCGTTTCCTAATATAGACTATTAACTAGTCCGTGCAAGCACGGACTAGTTAATAGTCTATAGTTAATAGTTAATAGTGCAAGCATCTGAAAATGGAACCTTTAACGGATGATGGTCAAATGGTCAACTATATTGCCAAACATGCGCCAAACCAACTGACTATTACAAGAAATCGAGTATAGATAAGGCACCACACAGTCTAATAATAACACTGATGATCTTCAAACATGACTCAACCTCTGACGGAAGCACCAAACTCTT